TTACTATCAAATGCAAATTGGCTGATTCAGTTTCATATGTTTCAACGGTTTCAAGTCAGACTTAGCATATGTAATTTACAAGAAATACACAAAACATATTTATAATCAAGATCTCTGTTTTGTATGTCAAGTTTTGACGGATTGACCTCATATGGTTCTTTTGCAGAACAAACAGATATAACAAAAACACAATTAGAGGTCAGGATACATTCATCATGACGGTGTTTGTAATAAGTGTAATACGTAAGGTAGACACAAACTCTCTCAGTAGTTTCAACAGGTTTCACCATCATATGTAATGTTAGAAGACATAAATAAGAGATTTCATTTTTAATACTACATACATATGACAAATTCCGAATAAGCATGATTCCAAATACAATAAAACCAAAACCTACTTATATATAAAATCTTGAACAGGAAATCATTCGACGCGTGGAAGTGGCTACAGTGCCAAATAAAAGCCAACAAAGAATTACGTTTTTATTAATAATTGCCAAGGCAAGAAACTTAGATTTTCTTTCAGTGCCCATTTGAAAATATTATGACAACGATTTGATGCGTTGGTGACATTGAATCATATCATATCGGTTTTTCACTTTCATCACTAAAGGATCTTCAACGTTTTGTTTGCCTTTATAATCGACGGTCGGGCAAATACTTGTATATTTTAACTAATTCTATTATCTGATTGTAGGTTTTAGATATGGTTTGTTGAACCGTATATATTAAAAAGTAATTCTGACATGGTTTCATTCTCAGCGGCATGTTTGGTCATTAAAGCTGAGAGAAGCAATGCCGCCTGGTCCGAGGTTGCACATCACAGGGGAGGACACTCCATTCACATTGAACCAGAAGGTGACAGATTCTGCAGCTGCACCAGTCAGGCTGATGATGATGTCGTCACCGATGCTGATGTCAGTTACTCTCTGCGGGGACATCGGAACCCACTTGCTTAACTCGCCCTGAATGAGCACCTGCTTTCTGAAACAATAAATCCGCATTAGAATATCTGTCGACTATTCTGTAAAGAGTTAACTCGTGCTTGTTGGTTCCAAACGGAATGGTAAACCTGTACCATCTACCATTACCATACGAGGGTCGGTCAAAAAGTAGTCGGCCTAACTATATTCTTGATGTCCAATGTTTGAACAGCTTCCATTTTAGTTTGTAGGAATCATTAGCAAAGCCGTATAAAAAATTTCACATATGTGGGTAATGTGATTTACGAGATATTAGTCATCACAACATATTGGGGTATAATATTTTTAGAAAAAAAATGCAGAAAATGAAAAACGATCCGTCATTTAGTACCTCTTGGATAATGGTATGCCCTCAGATAATGACATATAAAATATGTTAGTATAGTATTGGATGACTTCCCGTCATAATCAAGAGTCAAAGCTTTGGATTGCTTGATTCATATTTAGTCGTGGGCTGTTTCTTTAAGGACGCCCCCATTTTATTTTCAAGATATTCAAACTGGCCCTGTTTACAATATACTGAGAGTTGACACTTGTGTGACCATTCAGTATTTACTTTGAACCTTTAGCATCATGTGTGAAAAAGTTAAAACATTAGAATACGTTATGTCCTTATTTCGTCGTCTGAAAGGGGGTGGGTAGTGTCTCCAAAACAAGCTGTTTCAGTAAACATGAAGGGAAATCACTTTAACAAGCGATTGTACTTTCAAATTGCTTTTTTATGCACTTTAATATCTAAGTTTGATTCTAGCGGACGTCTACCTATCTCAAACACACAAAAAGGTTTCTTGCATATTTTGTTACCTGAAGTTTGTGGTGGATTTATTGCAGATTTTGCGCTTGTGGGGGGTACCATGATAAAATTTCAAACAAAATGGGGATCGTAAGGCTGGAACGTAGCAAAACCAATTTGCTTGAGGTTGACAGATAATATGTAGAAAAATAAAACATAAAAACAGCTGCATTTGTATCTTCCACTGCCTCTGAGTCTATATCAAGTGCCCGCAGCTGCCGTTGACGTCGGTGTAAGGCTGTCAAAACGGGTCCACGATATGGTAGCCGTACAAGAAGGTGAGCGGCTCGCAGGCGATTACGTATGGTTTACGCAGGCACACGACCTTGGAACACTTCATTTCTGGTGGGTGCTGCAGTGACAAATCGATTGCGAAGGTCACGTTACACAATATAGCGGTCTTCTCTTTGTGACGTCACACGTGGTGAGGAAGGGGACGGTCATCTGTGGAGCCCGTTAATTGCAACCGTGTCCGTAGATTATGGATTGTCCGGCGACTGCATCCCATCACCATTGCAACGTCAGCTACGGTCGTACCCGTGTGCAGCATGCCAACGGCACGTTCACGCTGAACATTTGACAGTCGTGGCATTGAAATTCACAGTATCAATTCTTATTTGAACTCGTTTTCCTGGTTTGTCACTCTACCGGGCGCAAGTGAGCAGAAAAACACGTGTCTCATGTTGTCACGTGACAAGTGGTACGTGAAAACACACTTTTCGTCCAAAACTCGTTTGCATGTGCTACAGAATGGTGCACGTGGGCGTTGACGTGCGGCATGTCGTCTTTGACAATGTCTTTACCGTCAATATTCATGACTGTCAGTTAACAAATTTCAATACACTCTTTACCAATTCATGAGTGTGAAGTTTTTAATTCTACTGAGTATATATAGATCGTAGTCCATGTTTCTCACTTATATATCGGCGGCAGTTGCCCCTGTTTGGCAACATACATGTACAGCTGTATTTGATAAAGGTAAGCAAAATAGAGAAAAAAACAAAACGTTTGCTTTTCACATATCGGTTCCAGTTGCCCATTTTTGATGCACAGTTGCATTTAATGATGTCAAGCAAAAAAGAGAAATAATATGTTTTGATTTTGACATTCTTTTACTTTAGGCGTGGCTTAACGCACAGGATGTCGATAGTCAATATTTCGATGAGGGCGTCGATTTCAATAAATTCTATATGAAGGTAAGGTGTTGATATGCCTGCGAGTGTGTGTCAACACATCAATACATGTACAGGTGTTCTATTAAACTGGTTAATCTCCATTATCACACCCAATAGCCTCATGAACACCTCATGAACACGATAATAACTTACGTTCATCTAATAATGTTTATTAGTTCACATTGGGTCTTACATGATCAACTTAGCACCATTGACTATATATGGAGACATCATTCATGCATATGCACTGCATCAGACTCTCTCTGTCAGATTGAGACATATCCTTAAGACTCTGGCACAAAGTTCCCTTAAGAATCATGAACTCAACAGCCACTCCGGATTCTGAAACACATACGAATGACGGTTTATTCCCCCTTGCTGTTATTTATCTTATTGTATCCTTGCTGGTCATGTCCGCCAACGGAGTCGTCGTGCTCGTCGTCGCAAAGACAAAGGAGCTTCATTTGCCAACGTTGTGGACCGTCACTTGGATGGCCGTCTTTGACTTCTTCATGGGTCTGTATATTCTGGTTTTCATCGTCCCCTCTGCTTTCCTGAACCGATTTGCCTACTCTGATACAATGGTCAGTCTGGCTTCTTGTGTACTGACCTTTATATTAGGTCAAACGGTCTTCAACGTTGCATTGACCATCATGGAACGATGCATTGCTGTGTGCTGGCCGTTGAAATACTTCCACATTGTTACGAAAAAGCTCTTCGTCCAAGGAGTGACCATCTCCATTTTCCTCAGTTTACTACGAGTCGTTCTGATAACTGTACCCGATGGGGACTTCTACTTCCGTGAAGATTCTGCCATTTGTATTGTAGACTTCGATACCGTGCCGAATCTCATGGCATCCGTTGGATTTCCGATCATCACGCTATCTATGATCGTCATCTGTCTCGTGCTCATTTTCTTCAGGAAGCGAGTGGGTAAGAAACAAGTACGCCCTGAAGGAGTCAACAATCAACCAGAGGTCAAATTTCCTCTGATGTGTGTGATGTCAACAAGCGTTTTCTGCATTTCTTACGTACCATTCACAATAGGTATTATTACAAATTACATGTCCGGTAAAGACAATGTACCGACTCTCCTGGTTCGGATAATTATGACGTCGCTCCTATCCAACAGCCTGTGGAATGTCTTCATCTACACCGCCACCTACCAGCCATTCAGGGAGGCTCTCGTGTATCTATTCTGCAGGTCGTACTTCAGAAAGAAAAGGCAACAGGAGCTGTTTTCAGTGCGGTAAATAATACGTTCCGTTGTGCTCATATTAATATTCCGAAAAAGGGTAACTTTGATTATTTCATTGGAGATGAGAGTTTTGAATGGACACTGTTAGTCGTTTTAAACATATTGTTATCGACCAAATGTCAAATAACCGTGCAAATACTATATAGTTAAAGAAATGTTTGAGTTTTACTACACGCCTTCCATCAACGGATTTCAAAGCTATTTCAGCCTACAATTAACTCATCCAATTGTAGTTTTATTTCAATTATCCCACATAAGTAATTTATTCTAGTTTGTTTGGCTTTTTCATCGTATCCTCCTGAGAGGGTACGTAAGTCCCAAAACAATTAAAGTAAAATTAAACTTAATACTATTTTTAATCGCAGTGTATATGTTATTTTAATGTATGGCTAGATTGCGAAAACTTGCCAACATCTGAAGGGAAGGTGTAAATCCAGCTAGGGTCCATGCAGGAAGTAAATGTATTGTCAGTTCACATGTTCTTTAGTATGGTGACCAACCTTCGGTTGTTGGCGATCTAGAGCCTTTTTTATATCGTATTGTAATCTACAGTTATATGGTTTAGATTTAACTTAGTTTTGAATTGAAATATGTGATAGTATATAGGGTTTTTTTTACTGTCATTCGTTGACAGAGTTTTATAATTTGCCTTTATTTATTATGAAATTATAATTTGTTTTAGTCACGATGTGGCTGAAATATTGTCGTTGTGACTATAAATTGTAACTCACTCATTCACTTTTTCATCGTGTGTTCCAATGTCCACCATGTTCAAATGTAATCCTTCTGTTGTTCGTTAACCTGCTCAGGTTTTCACTCCTATGTCTAATATTATGATATTTATTTTGTTACTATTAATCCTCCACCTACTCTAGATAATTCTGTTCCATGTCATTAGTTAGGTTTGCCTGACTGCGGTATATGGATCTATACTGTAACGTCACCAGTGCAGTATAATAAAATCGTTGTCGTCCAGAACTTTTTGTTGACTTTGTTACCCCTAAACTGAGAAGAATTGAATATGAAGCAATAGAAACTCAAGAATAAATTGATGTTTTTATGTCTTTACCCGAGCACGATTTGGCGAACCTGTGGAACAGAGACTGTTTTAGGACATTCATATAAACTGTGTGACAATACCTTCATCCGGAAGGAGCGTGCAATTTCCAGACAAAAGAGGATAAAGTTACATAGTCATTCCACTCAGCATTCAGTTGGGCATCTGACTTAAGAATCAGAATAATGACTCAGGGGCATATCACTTTCAGTGATTATAGTCCCTCATTTTAAAAGGTGGTTCAGTTTCTGAAATTGAAATATTTCATGACTGTCGAACTGTAAGTGGTGCAACCATTGTCGAACTGTAAGTTCGGCACTTCAACGTTCGACACAACGGTGTTAAACTGTTTTTGTCATACGTACCCCTGAACCTTCAGGATAGGCGAGACATAGAATAGACAAAAGTCCACAGTGGTGCAGCCACTCATGGTGAGGGGTTTAGCGTCTGTCAGAGGCTGGATCTTGCTAGCGTTGTTGTAAGGGAAGATCATGGAACTTGGGAACTGAAAGAGAGACCAAAAAATTGCACATAAAGATCGACCATTACCTAACGGCAGTATAGCTCTAGTACTGTGGTTCTGCCTTAACATATTATCAGAGTGTTTATGACCATGAAAACACATAAGAAGGCAACCGAGTTGTTTTTGAACGACTGCAAGCAATGTACCAAGAACGTAGGTTCAACCCAATCCTACGTCCTTTCAAGGCAACACTTTCAATAAGAAAGCTTATTGTTGCAACACCCACGAGCCTTGACTGAACGTGGTTTCTATACTACTTTTGACCAACAAACGTAAAATTCTTACGACTATTTCTTGACAGGGTGGTTTTGTATTCACCACCACCGACTTTCCACTCTCCAATCAAGTCTCTGTGTTAACGTTTGTAAACGGAACAAAACACTGTGTCAACTTACTCCCTTGTAGCCAGCAGTGTCGGGCGTTATCGAGTAGTCACCATTTAGCTCTGCGGCAAGGATGATACCATACTTGTTCTGTCCTCCGAAATCTGAATATGTGGACCATACCTCTCCGTCTGGTCCTTCAAAGTCTCCAAAGGCAATCTGAAAAGTAAGACCATGTTTTTTACATTTCAGACAAACGCGTAGAGCTCTCGAGATATATGTTTCTGTAAAATTGAACTTACTCTTCGAATCCTATTGTCTATGGCGGTAGCAGGACGAGATGGTTTCAGAATAAGTCCGTCCTCATTGACAGATCTGCAAACAAATTTAGGAAACATTGATTTAGTTGCTTGGGTGAAATATACAAAAGTTGTGGTAACTGTTATAATCATTACAGTCTGGTGTCCCTGGTCCAATTCCAATGGTAACAGTAGAATATTGCAACATATTCCTTAACATATACAACACTCCTCGAACACGTAGAGTTCATGTGACTGAAATCACTGTTCATTGCGGCGTTACACAAGATTCATTCAACAAACCTTATTCACCAAGCCTTGTGTGAGGTTTGGTGTCTCCACACTGACAAAGCTTTGAAAACGTGTGATGTATTTACCTCATGATTAATGTTTTGTTCGACCCGCCGACCATATCACTTATACCGACAGGACCCGTGCTCAGAGTAGCGACAACTGCATTCAGCGCTGTGTTTGGTTCCGACCCGTCTGGAACAAAATATAACACTTCATCAGCGGCGTAGCAAATATAAACATAGAATACAGACAAACGCCGCTGTGTCGAACTTTAATGTGTCGAACCGAGTGTTGTTTCGAAGTAAAAGTTTAGTCCATTCGCAATCGTTATTTATCCGTTTACTTTTCAGTTGTGTCGAACCATGGATAACTCGAAATTTTAACGTAGGTACCTTCAACTTCAACACAATGATTTTTTACTATCTTCAGATTAAAAATGTTTTAAGTGTGTTAGATTGAGTTTAGATTCGTAAAACTTACAAATGCAAATTACAAATTTCTTGAAAATTGAACCTGAAGTGCATTTAGTTTTGTCTCTGGAAATAGTACTTTCTAGTAAACAAAGACTTGTTAGTGTTTCATCTCTCATTTCAGTAAACATCACTTAAAGTGGTGAAAATATGACACAATTATATGTACACCATCCTTCTGTATACACACATACATCTACTAAGTTATAGTGAATAGTTTCACGATATTTCAGTAATGATGGAATTATATTCCCACGTGCTTATGCATTTCAACAATTGCCCACAACTATGCTTTACGAATCCAAGTCTCTGCTCGGGATCCCTCCAGTGAGAACGTCCAGCTACGGGAAGAGAACCTTCAAGTATGCTGCCGCAAAGACATGGAACGAACTGCCTGAATGTTTGAAAAACTGTTCAAATCTACATAACTTCAAACGAAGTCTCAAAACTCATCTCTTCAGAATATCATATCCAGATGACTAGTTTCATCTCAAGTGACCATGTTTTTAATTCTGTGCGCTTTGAGCATTTACTGTGAATGGAAATAGCGCGGTGCAAATGAACTATGATAATAACAAAAAATAATAATACTTCATGAAACCCTTTCAGACATAAGGCAATAGGGTGGTGGGGTAGCCTAGTGGTTAAGGCGACCCGGGTTTGATTCCCCATATAGGCATTGTGTCTGAAGCTCATTTTCTGTGTCCCCCGCCCTGATATTGCTGGAATATTGCGTAAAACTAAACTCAATATTAGGCAATAATTCCATTCATCTGGATAAACGTAATGTGATAGTTCCAAAACTAGCAAACCTACCTCAGTACTATGGAACAGTACCGCATTAAAAAGGAAATTAGGCATTAACTATGTGGTTGATCTGTGTGGATTTGTTTGAAAATGTTTCCTTACTGTATGAGTTGCCTGTTTGATTTGAAGTTGTCCAGAAATTGTCCTTATACGGAGCTAAACCAATTGCCCAAGCCAACAGTGATGTCAAGCCAATCTTCCAGTGGTCACTGCCGGGATGATAGTCTCTGCTTGCCCTTGCCTGAAAAAGTGAATACTCATTCAGTGCAGCAGAATGAAATACTTCCTCTGAGGTAGTGAGCAGTTGCGCGGTGAGGCATCACATTACTATAAGGGTAATGCTATTTTTGAGGGCATTATCATTTGCAGATGCCCGCGGTCTTCCATTAACTGCCCGACGAAGGAGGGCAGTTGAAAAAGACCGAGGACTTCTGCAAATGATAATGCCCTCAAAAATAGCATTACCGTTATTATTGCTAAAATACATGGAATTTGTGTTGAAAAGAAAAAGGAAACAATGAAGGAATTTGACTGTAAGTTTACTCAAAACCAACTTCTGACGGGGTTGACTGCCCGATTGCAATTACGTCATCGAACAATTCAAGTGACGTCACAACAGAAAGTGACAAGACCATAGCCTGCAAGATGTCAAACTATGTCAGTGTTCGGTTTTGGTCCATCAACAGCCTTAATAGTGCAATTGTTAAGGTTAGCACCAACAAGAAAGCCAATATTACCGCTATTACAAGTGGGAATTCGGGTTGCTTTGACTTGTTTGACCAAGAATATCTGCCAGTCGAAAGCCAATTAATGTCGAATGAACCATAAGCCCACGCACCCACTATGACGTCACTTGACAACAGAACTGATAGTGGCCCGTCGTTAAGGTTGAGCGGTCCAATATCATTTGCAGCGGCCCTCGATTTTCTTATAATAGGAGGGGCGTTTCATGATAATTCCATGTGTTTTAGCTATAGGGTTAGAAGGAACTTATTTCAATCCGCTGTAACCCTAGCTCACTATACGCCGTTCGACTGAACGTACTCATGAGGTCAGTCAATGACCATTTCTATTATGAGCTGATTCTAGCTCAACTGGAGCAACATTTTTGTCAAAAAATTGGTGGAAATACTAATATGAGTAATTAAAGGGTATAAAATGAAAGCTCACGGTGTTCATATTATGTGAAATACTACATACAGGTCGACAGAAACAGACTTGTGAAGTGAATCTAGGGTTTTAGGAACACAAGGCAACCTCATATTTTGGCTTAACAATGAAGTTGACATGCTTAATATGTCTCACGTGTGCCCACTTGAGCAATGTGAAATGTGGATATTAACACACTGCATTCAAGTATGGTTACCAAAGGTTTATCGATACTCATTGCTTATATATGAATAGGCTTATATCATTGTACACAACGATTGATTGCACTGACATTTGTTATTATAAATATTCTTGGAGATCTTGTCCTTGATCTTTTCACTTTGTGAATAAAATACGTCAAAACTAAAATAAAACATAAAAAGCATACCTATGTATATTTTTTAAAGATAGATACCTTAGTCATGAAGAACGAATTGATCTAAGGTTACTTTCGGTCCTCTAGAAATGGCCAAGCGTTACCTGTATTTACACGGTCAAAAATCAGAAAACACACAAGCCTTCTTGACACATATTGCCGAGAAGGTGACATTGATACTTTATATGCAGGTTTCAAACAGGACAAAAATGAGTAGCTCCAGTACAGGGTGTGTTTCATACATGGTTTTTATCTTATCATTTTGGTTTCACTGAATGACAATGTTGCTCACCCACCTGTGTTACTACAGGTATTTCCAGTGACTGGAGAGCGTGGCGGGGATACGTCATGCAATATTGGATTCTCAAGCCATTATTGGCAGCTGCTTTGCCCATCTCCATCAACCACTGCCTGCCCAAGTTAACGTCAGTATGAAGCTGCGTCACTTTGTCAAACTGCGCGTCTAAAGAGTCCTGAAACAGGAAAATATGTTTCTTCGAAGACTTTTCTGAGATCTACGAGTAGGAATATCCTGTAACAGTAACGGCTGGAACTCATTAGTCAGCATTGTATTATAGTCATTTTCAATTAAGGAAGACTTTTCTTTTTTTACTATTATTTCTCAGCTGTACTACCTCAGAATAAACATACAACTGTCTGAAAGGGTAGTTTTACCTCTTCGAAAACAACCAGCCCCCACTGGCGCGCAGAAGACATAAGATCTTGCCAAAATCGCTGAAAGAACAATATGATTAGTTATCCGTGACACGAACACATAGCATCAATATATGGTTTTCTGTTAAAACAATATTTGTTTTAAGAGTGCTTGAGATAGGGCTGCAGGAACCACAATGTTATTCCTATATGGAACATGTCCCCAGCAGACTATGATTGTTGTACCAGACAAAATCATTGGGATGGTCAGGTTTATTGATATGCCCGGATGCATGTCATAGGGTCCCGACTGTGTTGACCATGCTCAGAGTGTATCAATGACTAGATTGTTTTGACATTCGGGAGTATTTATGTATTGAGATTTTAAACAATAAAGAAACGGGAAAATGTGCTCACCTCATCAGTTGGCAGTGCTTTTTCCCCATCAATAATGAAGTTGTAAGCGCCTCCATTCTTCTTGGCATATGTATTATTAGATGACCTGGCAAAAGAAGTAAAAAGGTTCAAAGTTTCAGCTTCCCTTAGGGGAAACATGACTCATCCTTCTTCTCAAGTAGTCGAGGTCTGCATCTGAATACCTTCACTGAATTCATGGATTTGAATCTCAGATTTACCCTGAGCATGATTCTCGATTGGTTTTACAGAACGAAACATTGAAAAAATAACACCAAAATGACGCAAACTGAATATTTAAACATGTCGGTTGTAATGCTCCAATCATCAAACAAGATCCAATAACCAATTCCCAGGACATCCGACTGTGTCGTAAAATAACTCTCAATCAGTCAAAAGTCTTGCATGAATCAAGTTGAAAAATTAAAATGTTCATGGCTTCACCAACACCTGGAGAGCTCACAAGTGAATCAATGTCGTTTCTCTCAATGTACACGTGCGAGTATATTTTAGATGACAAATGTTAGGATGAGACTGGAACTTACCAAAACTTGCTGTGAGCCAGAACAGGCAGGCTAGTCTTGTTGTACAGCCACCTGAATATCAAACAAAAAATAATGTAAATAACGGCAATGTGACTTTGTTCAGACAAGCGTGTTCATCATCGGTATGGCATGTACTTATTGTTATGACACTAAATGTATACGTTAACCTAACCTGTGATCGATTTCAACAAAACGTTTCAGGAAACATTTGTTACATAATTAAACATTAATAATCTTTTATCCAAAAATGATTAACTTAGGAGATAATGACATATCATCTTGACATACTTGCTCACAGTAACATTCCTCTTGAATTTAGTGAGCGCATGAATATATATTGTCCATAAACATGTTGCATTAAAGCTTCAAATGAATTAACTTGGCAACCGCTATGAAGTGTTATCTGGTACATTCCTGTCATGCGATACTCTTCTTTCTTTGATACATGTGCTCTCTTGTACGGTCATGCCATGCTTTGTCTTCTGTCATTCCACGCTACTCTTACACATTCCTATCATGCAATGCTTTGTTTTCTGTCATTCCACGCTATCTTACACATTCCTATCATGCAATGCTTTGTTTTCTGTCATTCCACGCTATCTTACACATTCCTATCAAGCCATGCTTTGTTCTCTGTCATGCCACGCTATCGTACACATTCCTATCATGTCATGCTTTGTTTTCTGTGATGCCACGCTATCTTATCATGCCACATTCCTTCAAGCCATGCTTTGTTTTCTGTCATTCCACGCTATCTTACACATTCCTACCATGTACATTGCCTATCATGCTTTGTTTTCTGTCATTCCACGCTATCTTACACATTCCTATCAAGCCATGCTTTGTTTTCTGTCATGCCACACTATTTTATACCTTTTCTGCCGTTCCACGCTATCTTACACATTCCTATCATGTCATGCTTTGTTTTCTGTCATGCCACGCTATCTTACACGTTCCTATCAAGCAATGCTTTGTTTTCTGTCATGCCACAATATCTTACACATTCCTACCATGCCATGCTTTGTTTTCTGTCATTCCACGCTATCTTACACATTCCTATCATGTCATGCTTTGTTTTCTGTCATTCCACGCTATCTTACATATGCTTTGTTTTCTGTCATTCCTACATATTCCTATTAAGCAATGATGTCTTATACACTTTGTCATGCAACCTTTTTTTACCACTGTTATTCAGTGGTTTCTCAACAACGGGAAGTGCGATTTCCTTAACGTACTCCAATCCGTTGGGAAACACGTCAGGCCTGGGTTCCCATTGCATGATGGCGTGATGAGAATCAACGTAGTACCACCAATCGTCATACTGGAAATATCTGGAAAATAGACAATAAAGACTTAAAGCCCAGATATTATTTACAAAGTATCAATTTAAATCAACAATTGCTGGCTGTTAATTGATGTGTACAGTAAATTTGGACTGCCAGCCCTTGTTTTGATAGTTTCGGAATGATATAGTTTGTGACCTGTGTAATCTCAGAGTGCACCTTCATTTCTGATCTTTTATTTTGTATGTGTATTAGAATCTAAATTTTCTCTCATTGTAAAATATATTCCTATTTTGCAAAAGAAACGGTCAAAAACATTTCGGTTTTTCATTTTATAATATTCGATATGATATTCAATATCTATTTTGAAGTCCTACAAATATCAGTGCAGGGTTTGTTAACATACCTGACTGGAAGCCCAATTTGCTGGATGTAACTGACAACATCCAAAACAGTGTCCTGGTAGTTTTTTCCTTTCTCTGACTCGTGGTAGTAATATGCACCTGTGAAAATGGATGTCCGACATGCACAGGTATGATTATAAGACTGGCGTATTTGCAAGAATGGGGAGAACTTAGAATTATCCCCAATTCCAAACACAAATGCCAAACAGCTTCGATTATTTCCAAACATGGATTGGTTTTGAGTGGTCTATATCAGAAGTATTCGTCATCACAATGCTTTGCAGACCATTGTTACATCATCAATTAACATGGCATCACAATCAAATGACATCCCTAACCTCTGACAGTAACGCTGTTATAATATTCGACATGAACATGCGTCAGACACAGGTTATTACTGTTGAATATAGAGGATGATGAATTATGTTGGATGATAAATATGATCTCACCCTCGTGTCTTTCAAGGTGAAGTAAACACATAAACATGGCTGTTATTATTCCTATTTTAGATATCGAAGAGTTGTAACAGATGTCCGTTTGTTGATAAACATGCACTTACCATTGTCAGTCCAGTATCCTAGATAGTTGATTGTCATATCAGATTTGACAAATTCTTCCTTATGCCCATACCACGTCTGGAGTATTTCTCCCCAGCTGACAAAGGCCTACATACATCAAACATATTCATTCATTCACAACAACAGAATTCTTAGTAGATCTTACATGGAGAATAATGTTAGTCGTTTGAAAAATATTTTAATGGGGCAAATTTTAAGAGGAAAGAAAATGAGTGAACAGTTTGCTTTCAGCAATGCCCACCAGCGTTAAGTCTGAGTTTGTGTTAAGAGTTGAGTGAGTTTGGTTTTACGCCGCTTTTAGCGATACTCCAGCAATATCATGGCGGGGGACACCAGAAATGGGCTTCACACATTGTACCAATATGGGGAATCGAACCCGGGTCTTCGGCGTGACGAGCGAACGCATTAACCACTAGGCTACCCCACCACCCTGTTTAGAGTGAAAGGTAAATTAATGGCAATGAAAGTATAGGTGTATGGCGCTTACTTTGTTGATTCCTTGGTTGCCGCAGAACATGATGTAACTTGTCTCAAAATCTTTTGGCACAGTGTTCACGCCTCCCATTATGCCCCAGAAAGCGTTATTGATGCCTTTGTGGTTGTTCTGGTGATAGAGTGATGATGCCATGAACTCACTTGCTGGAGCTATGATCAGGGTGTTCGCCGTCTTAGATCTGTCAAACAAAGCTAGTGGGCCGCTTCCGTGGCCGTAGAGAATGTCAAATGTTGTGTCGCCCCATCTGAAATATACTCACAGCTTCATCATTTCGAAATAGTAAACGACAATCAGAAAACAGAGAGTGAGTGAGTGAATGAGTAAGGTTTTACGCCGCTTTTAGCAATATTCCAGCAACATCACGGCGGGGGACACCAGACAGAAAAACAGAATTCAGTTTTAAATAATTGCATGATAATGTATATGTTTAGAGTTTCTTTTGCGTATGAAAGCCTAATTATACCACTTTCGTGTATAAAATATGTTTTTAAGCCACACTATCTCGTTATTTCAAGTGCTTCCTTAGTTTGTTCTGAATACTGCGATTATGTTTCCACAATTTTGATTATTCGTTCATAATTTTAATGATTTCCTCGTTATTTGAAGTTTTCTTCCAAAGTCAAAATTGCAATGTTCTTTTCGTTAATTCAAGTTTCTATGAAACACGAATATTTTCTTGTAATTTCGAGTATTTTGTCGAATTTTCGAGTTTTGAAATTACACTTAAAAAAATAATCTAAATCACGAAAATATAACCGAAATGACAAGAAATAATCTAAATTTAGTAAATATTAATAAATACTTGAAATAACAAGAAATTTCAGGAGTTTCGAACATTTTTCGAAAATAAACTTTACCAAAGTGGCACCATTATGCTTTTGTAGTTGTAATGCCGTATCATTGTACACATATTTCACCCATCATCGAACTTACAGGTTAGCTTGCATACTCTGGCTACCAAACTGATTTCCTGCAAAGTACAGGTAGCCCATTGGAACTTCAACCTCTTCTAATGCAATGCTTGGAAAGCCAGAAATCGTCTCCGAGACAGTGTCAGCAGCTGTGTTGTTGGAGCCGGTGATGAACTTCTACAACGTGACAATCACAGAAATGTTCACGAGTTATGGCTAAGCATTGACGTAGCATTGAATCGTCCTGAAACTCCTGAAACTCCAGAATTCAACTCTTATGCCTCTGATGTACGTGTCCTAAACATGCAGCGTATTGCAATCTGATGATGATATATACTCATGCCAATAATGGTTGTCACCCCTTCAATTTTTTTAATTGGAGAGGGTGTGGGGTGGGTGTGTGAGGTGTGTGTGGGGGTTGGGGTGGGGAGGGGGTGACAACCATTATTGGCATGAGTATATATTAGAACATTTTTGGCTTAATGGTCGGATGTTCGTATCCTTTCAAGGTCTTGATACTGCTGCTGGGGTCAGTATGTCGGATAGAGATGGTATATATGTCATTGGGTAGTTACCCTGAAATAAAGAAATAATTGTCTTTATGTTATGTAGTGTCATACCTGTTTGAACAACACGAACGGTAAAGCCGGATCGTTGTAGGTGAATATGCTTGGATCTGGTTTGTACTGTACAATGCTGGCCTCGATCTGAGTGGACCCTGCCTGATACACGAAGCTGTTGGAGTCCCACTGACCTATCAGGTCAACACCACTGGACTGGCTGTGCTTGACCAGCTGTAGCGAGCCATCGGCAAAGGTGAAGATGTCTCCATCCGCCCGGAAGAAGTAGGGACCGCTTTCCAACCAGGTTTTCCCCTGGACAACGACGTAGAATGAACCGCTCGTGGTGTCGACGTTCACAGCAAAGTCTTGTCCTGAAGAAGAATTCAGATGTTCAACGGAAATTGAGTGAGTGAGGAAGGGGGGCCAGCGAGTTTATTCCAAGAAAAGTAAGATACTTTATGAATGACAACTTTAATATATTATGATGCGACGTTTCGGTATAGGTTCTCATGCCGTCGTCAAGCAAGTGAAACGTCGCATCATAATAAAATAAAGAAGTTGTCATCCCTAAAGTATCTTACCTTTCTTATTGGAATATATTAATATATTATGATGCGACGTTTCGGTATAGGTTCTCATGCCGTCGTCAAGCAAGTGAAGACTTTGGTTTGGTATGTTTTAACAACCAATCATGTAACTCTATTGAGTCAAAACATCAGACTGAGGAAGTCATTGATAATTAGGATATCGACATGTTTGTTTAGGTGGGGTCCATTGTCCTATTGTCAATCATGTAAAAATTCAAATCAAAAGTGTAAAAAACAGTTAAAAATGGGTCCAAATGATATTGTTTATGATGATAATGCATGCACATTCACAAAGAGTGATAAAGTTGGGTTTTGGATATGAAAGAATAGTTGTTTTCCGTAAAAAGGGACCGAATGCTGAAATTGGACTTTTGTCTCTTTAAAACACATTCCAACCACTTGAATGCAGCATGCGACGTTTTGGTATAGGTTCTTATGCCATCGTCAAGCAAGTGAAACGTCGCATCATAATACAATAAAGAAGTTGTCATCCCTAAAGTATCTTACCTTTCTTATTATTCTTTTTAAACTTTTGCGACAATGAAGTCACACGACGTTACTTTATTAGCAAACTGAAAAGTACTTAATATTTTCCACCCACATCATATCAGTAACACGTTTGGTCTGCGAGCTGGTAGACGACAGGAAAACATTGTACTTCCGGCAAATCTAGGAACTCGGCAGTTCTCAGACAGAAGAGTGGAAAAATCCCCCACTGGCAAACATCCTGATCCTTGCTGGGGCGTGGTGTGATCTCACCATTATCGTCACATAAGCGCCATTGATATTACAAACATCAAAGTAGGTCCCGAAGTACGTTTGCTTTTAAATCAGATTCTTAAGGTTTGACGGGTGAGAAAAGTGATTATTGGCCAGGTGATACATGTTGGCATTGTGTGGCACATCAGGACGGAGTTTCATCTTTTGTTCCATAAACATTTCTTCAAAACGGTGATCCTGAGCAAACCCCGAGTAGTATATTTACATCAAAACGAGTAACGTACACGACGCAGGTGTTTGGCAGGGATATAAGTGTATATATTTAATAATATGAACGCGCGCTCGCGCTTATGTGTGTGTGTGTGTGTGTGTGTGTGTGTGTGTGTGTGTGTGAAAAGAGATATTGTGCGTGCGTCTGTGTCTCTCTTCGTGTGTGTGTGTGTGTGTGATATATTGTGCGTGCGTCTGTGTCTGTCTCTTCGTGTGTGTGTGTGTGTGTGTGTGTGTGTGTGTGTGTGTGTGTGTGTGTGTGTGTGTGTGTGTGTGTGTGTGTGTGTGTGTGTGTGTGTGTGTGTGTGTGTGTGTCCCTGAGTTAAGTAGGTTAAAGTACCTACACTGATAATCACAGTTGTGCCTATGAGATAAGTATATATCTATAAGTATCATGACCGGCAGCACAGATTCATGTGCGGGTCAACGGCCTGCCTTTAAATGGCCTTGATGGCCACTGATGCAATGCATTGTGCATGACGTGCGGGATACTACTTCAGACCATTATAACAACCGGGAGTATGTTATGCGTTGGTCGTTCAGTGCTTAAGGGACGCGGCTTTGCACATACAATCTCGAAGCGCCCGAGACGATGGGGACATCCCTGCAACTTTGTCACATAAAACATGTGGCGTATCATTTTTGGCCAATTATCCTCATGTCACCACAATTCATGACCTGTAAGAACATTTGGACATGTCACTCACCCGTTTCTCAATCCTGTCTTCATTACAACAATAGCGAGTCACATTTGGTCGCCATCATGCCAACGCTATCTTAATATAAGGTTCATATCAGACAGATATGAAAATGTCACCTTGAGCAGATGTATATTGAATTTTACTTTTCCTAAAATCTAAAACAATATGAACATTTTTATCATATTTGGACTCACCTGTGCAGACATTTGAAACGGTGAGGACAGCAACGATCAGCAGCAGCTTCATCTTTGTTCGGACATCACACGTTGAGTGATATTACGTAACACTTTGAACGGTCTTACAGAGACCTTGAATCATTATCTAACAAGGTTATATGTTATCACGCAACGACCTTGCGTTTATCTGAGTTCGATATCTGGGTTCGATACATGTATGTATGCACATAAACATAAAGACACCAGTAGCAGAATAATCACGAAATTGCAACATGAATTCATTACAGTAAGTGAGGATTCTTGGGAAAGGCAGTCAGCAAAATAGTCAGAGGTCGTTTAATCTTGAGTGAACTATATGTTGGCCAAAGACATCTTTGCTCAATCTTGCTCAATATAATCTCCTGCTGATTTGACAGACATGCATTGGGAGTGCATTGTAAGAATGACAATGTCCTCAAATCTTCAACAAATGTGCTTCAGACACATGAAATCCTGGCTCCTGACCACCTGATCGGTTTGGTCGTCACCATGGATTGTTGGGGACTTGCGGTCGCCTGGAATCCTTCCGGGTTGTCGAGATTGACATAGTGGTTCTTGCTAGCATCATTTCACTGACAGACAGAAGTTTATTCGTAATATCGGCCTCATGGCCTATAATACAGTCACAAACTTTGCCAGTTTCTTGAAACAGTGGTCATAATTTGTATTAGGATCTTACTATAAAAACATAATGTAAAAATGGTGCTATGCAGTATATGACTTGGGGGGGGTTTTGGATTGCAAAATTGACGGCAGAGTGAGTGGGCCTTTGTAGACATTTTGTAATTGTTTGAAGTAACTGTCTCTGTACCGCTGATATTTGTCACCTCGGAAGAATACATGATTCTCAGTTTCTGTTTCTGCGGCATCACAGAATGAACACAAATAGTTCGTACGTGGGGCATCCTCATTAAGTCTGTACATGTTCACTTTGAAGTTGTTATTCGAAATACGAAACTTGATAAGTGCACGGATCAGATGTTTATATTTTAGTTCTGTTATGTAGGTCTCCAGGCAAAGTTCATGTTTAAACTGTGAATGATGGCGGAAAAAGGCAGAGCTGTTGATTTCGTTGTGCCAAGTTTGGTAGGCGATATCCTTCAATCGTTGTTCGAAAGTATACATGAATAGCTGAACGTTAGCAACGCCCTGGTTTAACCAGACATGAGAAAACCCGTTTCTGAATAGTAAGTTTCTAACATTGGATGCCCAATTTGTTCTGAACATTTCATTGTTTATACTCGTCACAATCGAAATGTTATACAAAAGACATTTAGAAATAGTTCTTGTTGTTACATTGCCTGGTCCTCTAACGGTATCAACCAACAACTACGGCCATCAGAGTACAAACAAACCAAGAAGGCATTGCTTTTCAGGGTAACTCTTCCATTTCGTCTGTTTGCAGTATAAGATAGGCCTTGAACAAAGCAGATAGACAATCGCCAGAACTTGGAGTTGTCAACCTTCTACGGCTAGGACTTCAGCCAAGGAACATGTCAACTGAGATTCATCACTCAACTTGAGCCAAGGTAGTGACGTTTGAAATGAGTCACCAGATACCAATAATGCCGAATTTGAATAACTCGCGGGTTGTAAGGGATTGTACGGTTAAAATGCATAAATTTGATACATTTTTGGCTTCCTCTTACAAGCATTTATCGCTATAGAGCCAATCAATGTTTTCGCCAAATCCAAGATGGCCGCCAAAAGTAGACATTTTGAACATGTTGATTTAAGTTGTTCTTGCATATTTATCATATTTTATATTATTGTACTTCTCTTTCATTTTATCCTTTTGATATTGGTATACTTTGTTTACCATGGTAGTTACCCAAACTAGTTACCATGGTTAAAGCTTATATTGTACAAAGGTTTATGCTTTCAAGTCAAAGTGCACAATACGGCCGTTTGTTGTCACTTAGTGGCTACGCTGATAAAACAACTGTAACTGATGCTTTTAAACAAGCCTTCCCGATGTGCGAAAAGGCATTCATAACAGAATTCGTTAAATCTCCATATGTCGGCAAGAATATGTATCCTACACTACGGCCATGTCTGAAAGGTGTTTCTTAGAGACCATTCATAATTTATGGCCAGGAGGGTAATGATGATTTTAAGTGGGGTCACCCATTTTGTTCTAGGGAGGTAGGGGTCATCAATTTTGTACACATGTACGGGGGGGCGGCGTCATTGATTTTTGTACATGATATGCAGGTGAGTTTACTTAGTTGTACATAAATTTTAAGGGGTGGGGGGAGGTTCATTCATAGTGTACATGCCTCTCCACAACAATCACATAGGCGGATCCAGAGGGGGGTGCAGGGGTGCGCACCCCCAACCCCCTTTTTGTCCTGAAAGTTTATTAAATGACCATTGACACTCGGGTGAAAATGAAGTGTGCACCCTCCCTTTTCTCAATAGTGTGCACACACCACACACACACCCTTTCTCAAAAAGCTGTATCCGCCCCTGAATCATCATGATGGATGCGGGGGTGAGGGTTGGGCGGCGGACTTGGAGAGGGTTGCGGAAATCAGGAAGATGGACCCACAGAAGTATATAGAGATGGACCCAGGTGATGGTGTATAGTTCGAATGTGATCGAAACGTTTGGGATTCCGCGGCAGATCCTGAAGCCCTTGCATTAAGTTGAAAGATACGACTGATGAGGATTGGATAGTATTTTTTTATCTTCGGGATTCGGGTCAGAATATGACGTATCTACGATGTACAAATGTCTTCAGATATGATGAGAGGAGCCGGGTGAATAGATATAACAGTGACATGTACTTTGGATAAGAGATGAAGCATGTGATGACCAATTTACTTGCCGACATGTAGATGACTTGGAGATAGCAGACAAGGCTCCACGCAACGAGAATATATATTACTGAAATTGTAAATGTACAAAACCTAATGCTCGCCATATTGATGAAAGTACTATTCTGCTCGTCAAGACCCGTGAAGATCCGGGTTAGAATTGATCTTCAGTAACCCATGCCTGTCGTAATTGCGTAGATTGGTGCTCATGCTATTGATCACTGGATTGTCAGGTCCGGTATCGATTATTTACAGACTGTCGCCATATAGCTGGAATATTGCTGAGTGCGGCGTAAAACTAAAGTCACTCACTCACTGCAACCTCCTACACAGCATCGACGTCAACAGCAGCTCCATGAAACAGAGGTCCCCATCTTGGGATTATCTCATCAGAAAAACAACACCCGTATGTTCAAGGGAATTGTGACAGTATGCCTTTTCTATAATCATGCTTTATATATGGTTCTGATGGAGCAATTGTTTTGATACAACACATTTGTGCTTCTTCCTGGCATATGATATGTTGGATCATCAACTTCGACTTCTGAGGAGCCGCAATCTAGACTGTGTAGAGTTATGTCCCTTAGATGCGACAGAATCGTATGATAGCAGGTGAACCACGAATCCACGAGTGTTTAAATTTCTTAGTACCATATCTGTGCTTGAGGGTTTCGCCTACAAGTGGTCAACATATAAATTGCCATTGTCACTCACCAACTCACACTCACTCACTCACTCTCACTCTCACTCACCGTTCAACCACACAAACACTCAACCACAGTCACCCAATCACTCACTCACTCGACTGCTATCTTATTCCGATATGTGAGACCCATTTCTAGTGACCCCTGTCGTTCTGATCTAATTAATAGTCTATCTGCCGCGGTCCATCGTCGTTAAAGCATTCTCTTGTCACGTTAAAAACACGGGTTCGATTCCCAACATGGGTGAAATGGGTGAGTCCCCCTTCCTTGTCATTGCTGGAATATTGCCAAAAGCCGTGTACTCAGCATTCAGTATTATTCCAAATAGTTTGTTTTGATGGCTCCATTGTGCAATATAAAATGTATTAAAGACAAAACGATATTCTAATTAATTGAGGAAACCACGTATCATAGAAGCGACAAAACCATTTCCGCATCCATAAGAAATGTCTGCTAAAAGCAGAGTCGATTGCACAATTGTGACTATATAATGAGTATGTTTCTGTTTCAGCAGTATTACAGCCGTACGATATTGGTTGAAAACAAATCGTGTCTGGACCAGACGATCCAGTGATTGTCACCATGCGATACGATGACAGAGCTTGTGTTTATGAATCACTATGAAATAGTGATGATACCAGGTGTTCGCGAAAAGGTGAGCGTATCCTGCCACACCGGTGGCACCCGTCATAAACATATGCTAAGTCTAGTCATTTGTTCAGCCGAAATAATTCGGGACCGTATGATATAAGTATGTTGTAAGGAAATTGCATCGGACATAATTTTTGTCACTGATGCATTACGTTTGGACATTTCCTCCACATGTCTACCATAAAACTTCTTGAAAGCTTTACGGAGGCATTGGATGTTGTAACCTTGATCAAACAACTTCTGAGCAAGAGTGGCATGAAGCTGCTGGAAATCCCGATAAAAAGACCAAGCTCGATTGTGCCTCAAAAGTTGTGAAATGTAAACACCAGAGGGTGGAGTTGTTGGAATATTGCTCGACATGAAAGGGAAGTTGGCTATTGGAAAGTTGAAATCATCCCTTTTATATACAACAGAACACACATTCATGAGCTATATATTTTCATAAAAATTTGATTGCAAACGCTAAATATGTAGATATATAGACCAAGCCGTGAAGCAGTAATTTGTTGATTTTATTTTCAAAGCGCGAGGAGAAGTACTAGCAACAGCAGTATCAACACTTATATCCACACCTTACACCTTACACCTTAAACACCACCAGCCACACGACCGTTTTGTGTCAATATGTCCCTGAAGAGATAACAGAGGTTGACTGTATTGGTATCTTAAGTTTCCGCTTTGATCGTTTTTGAAGTCGCAGGATTCATGAAGTCTTTCCCAGTCATGTCGTAGTAGTTTTCACAAGCCTTCAGAGCAGAATCGTCGACCTGGGAAAAGTTGTAAAATATAGTAGCCTGTAATCTTGACCAAAATAAACAGAGGCTGAAAAGATTACCATTGCACTTGTCATCGGCTCTAACAGCAGGTTTTGCTACTAGAAAACGGCCAAAGAACACCTCCAGGGGCACGGTGGACACATGCTGTTTGTTACTTTGCTCAACAGCATTCGCTGTATGTGGAGGTTAGAAAATAAACGATTTTGACAGGAAAACCAGTGATTGATATCATGAGCCTCGATCTACACAATTTTGATACTGGAATATGCCTCACGAACAACTGTATCGCAGCGCCTGTCGAAGAACTGAAATAAGACATGTTCTTACTAAGCACTAAACAGAATACAATGCATACACAATGTTGGCGTCCTTCGAGTACCGATGCATCTTTCCTTTGTGGACTAAGTATTATATTCTTAAGACTCCAACTGTTCTATTGGTCTGGAATTCGTCTTCGGGCTTGCTGACTTCACCAATGCACGTCATCTTCCCCCGATCATACACGTCATCTTCCCCCAGCCATACATCTCATCTTCCCCCAACCATACATATCATCTTCCACCAATCATACATATCATCTTCCCCCAGCCATACATCTCATCTTCCGCCAATCATACATATCATCTTCCCCCAATCATACATATCATCTTCCCCAATCATACATGTCATCTTCCCCCAATCATACATATCATCTTCCCCAATCATACATGTCTTCAATCATACATATCATCTTCCCCTCAATCATACATATCATCTTCCCCAATCATACATATCATCATTCCACCAATCATACATATCATCTTCCCCAATCATACATATCATCTTCCCATCATATACAATCAATCATATCATTTCCCCCATCATCTTCATCTTCCCCAATCATACATATCATCTTCCTGAATCATACATATCATCTTCCCCCAATCATACATATCATCTTCCCCAATCATACATATCATCTTCCCCAATCATACATCTTCCCCCATCATCATCCCCCTAATCATACATATCATCATTTCCTTCCAATCATACATACATCTCATCATTCATCTTCCCCAATCATACATATCATCTTCCCCCCAATCATACATATCATCTTCCCCCAATCATACATATCATCTTCCCCAATCATACATATCATCTTCCCCCAATCATACATATCATCTTCCCCCAATCATACATATCATCTTCCACCAATCATACATGTCATCTTCCCCCAATCATACATGTCATCTTCCCCCAATCATACATGTCATCTTCCCCAATCATACATATCATCTTCCCCCAATCATACATATCATCTTCCCCAATCATACATATCATCTTCCCCCAATCATACATATCATCTTCCCCAATCATACATGCCATCTTCCCCCAATCATACATATCATCTTCCCCTTCAATCATACATATCATCTTCCCCCAATCATACATGTCATCTTCATCTTCCCCAATCATACATATCATCTTCCCACCAATCATACATGTCATCTTCCTTCAATCATACATATCATCTTCCACCAATCATACATGCCATCTTTCCACCAATCATACATATCATCTTCCCCCAATCATACATATCATCTTCCCCCAATCATACATATCATCTTCCCCCAATCATACATGTCATCTTCTCCCCAATCATACATGTCATCTTCCCCCAATCATACCCAATCATACATGTCATCTTCCCCAATCATACATGTCATCTTCCCCAATCATACATGTCATCTTCCCCAATCATACATGTCATCTTCCCCAATCATACATATCATCTTCCCCAATCATACATCAATCATACATATCATCTTCCCCAATCATACATGTCATCTTCCCCCAATCATACATATCATCTTCCCCCCAATCATACATATCATCTTCCCCAATCATATATCCCTTATCTATCTCTTCCCCCAATCATCATACATATCATCTTCCCCCCAATCATACATATCATCTTCCCCAATCATACATATCATCTCTTCCCCAATCATACATCATCATCTCTCCCCAATCATACATATCATCTTCCCCCAATCATACATGTCATCTTCCCCAATCATACATGTCATCTTCCCCAATCATACATATCATCTTCCCCCAATCAATCATACATATCATCTTCCCCAATCATACATATCATCTTCCCCAATCATACATCTCATCTTCCCCCAATCATACATATCATCTTCCCCCAATCATACATATCATCTTCCCCCAATCATACATACTCATCTTCCCCCAATCATACATACCATCTTCCCCCAATCATACATGTCATCTTCCCCCAATCATACATGTCATCTTCCCCGAATCATACATGTCATCTCCCAATCATACATGTCATCCTCTCCCAGTCATACATGTCATCTTCTCCCAGTTGCGTATATCGATGTTCTTAATGTCAATCACTGGACGAAATGGTCCAGGTTCGATTTGTTACAGATCGCCGCCATACAGCTGGAATATTGCTGAGTGGTGTGTTAAACAATAGCCTTATGGACCGTGAGATGTTTATTCAAGTCTCATAAAACGTTTTTCTCAAGTTTCACACTCATGCATAACACCTAACACTCATTTTCAAAAGTATTATTTAAAAACAGGTTCGTCGAAAGCCAAATTAAGTTCTTTGTCCTTACTATTACAAAACAACAACACCTTTAAATTTTGAATGATAGTATAAATTTACAAAATGGTTTTGCATCTACGTGGTATGAAAACCTGAACTGATCAAGTGCTGATAAGAGTGAGTGAGTGAGTTTAGTTTTACGCCGCACGCAGCAATATTCCAGCTATATGGCGGCGGTCTGTAAATAATCGAGTCTGGATCAGACAATCCAGTGATTAACAGCATGGAGATCGATCTGCGCAATTGGGAACCGATGACATGTGTCAACTAAGTCAGAGAGCCTGACCACCCGATGAAAGCTGTATCATATACATTACCCTCGAATAACTATTTCTCGGCTTCATTTTCAGACCACGTCAAACATTGTTGTACACTTTCTTTGGTCCGGTAGTGTATCATACTCGTAAGTGTTGACCTATCGTTATCCTTCAACTTGGTACTTACAATGTCCAGTTTTGTGTACTGAGGATGGTGGTGTTTCTTCACAGGGTTGTTGTGTTTGGTGTTGATGGCCATGACGTAAGCCCAGCGTCTTCTGTCACTATTGTTTGCAGTGCTGCTATGCAGGAGGTTGGCGTGGAAGAACAGGGCGTCCCCTTGGAACAGGAAGGTATAACGTACACTACCTGGTATAATGTACACTACCTGGTATAATGTACACTACCTGGTATAATGTACACTACCTCGTATAATGTACACTACCTCGTATAATGTACACTACCTCGTATAACGTACACTACCTGGTATAACGTACACTACCTCGTATAATGTACACTACCTGCGTATAATGTACACTACCTCGTATAATGTACACTACCTCGTATAACGTACACTACCTGGTATAATGTACACTACCTCGTATAACGTACACTACCTGGTATAACGTACACTACCTCGTATAATGTACACTACCTCGTATAATGTACACTACCTGGTATAATGTACACTACCTCGTATAACGTACACTACCTCGTATAATGTACACTACCTCGTATAACGTACACTACCTGGTATAATGTACACTACCTCGTATAATGTACACTACCTGGTATAACGTACACTACCTGGTATAACGTACACTACCTCGTATAATGTACACTACCTCGTATAATGTACACTACCTGGTATAATGTACACTACCTCGTATAATGTACACTACCTCGTATAACGTACACTACCTCGTATAACGTACACTACCTCGTATAATGTACACTACCTGGTATAATGTACACTACCTGGTATAATGTACACTACCTCGTATAATGTACACTACCTGGTATAACGTACACTACCTCGTATAATGTACACTACCTGGTATAATGTACACTACCTCGTATAACGTACACTACCTCGTATAATGTACACTACCTCGTATAATGTACACTACCTGGTATAATGTACACTACCTGGTATAATGTACACTACCTGGTATAATGTACACTACCTCGTATAATGTACACTACCTCGTATAATGTACACTACCTGGTATAATGTACACTACCTCGTATAATGTACACTACCTCGTATAATGTACACTACCTGGTATAATGTACACTACCTCGTATAATGTACACTACCTGGTATAACGTACACTACCTCGTATAACGTACACTACCTGGTATAATGTACACTACCTCGTATAATGTACACTACCTCGTATAATGTACACTACCTCGTATAATGTACACTACCTCGTATAATGTACACTACCCGTACACTACCTGTATAATGTACACTACCTGGTATAACGTACACTACCTCGTATAACGTACACTACCTCGTATAATGTACACTACCTCGTATAATGTACACTACCTCCTATAATGTACCCTACCTCGTATAATGTACACTATCCTCGTATAACGTACACTACCTGGTATAATGTACACTACCTCGTATAATGTACACTACCTGGTATAATGTACACTACCTCGTATAATCGTACACTACCTCGTATAATGTACACTACCTCGTATAATGTACACTACCTCATATAATGTACACTACCTGGTATAATGTACACTACCTCGTATAATGTACACTACCCTCGTATAATGTACACTACCTCGTATAATGTACACTACCTGGTATAATGTCCCCTACCTCCTATAATGTAGGCTACCTGGTATAACGTACACTACCTCGTATAACGTACACTACCTGGTATAATGTACACTACCTCGTATAACGTACACTACCTCCTATAATGTACACTACCCTCGTATAATGTACACTACCTCGTATAATGTACACTACCCTCGTATAATGTACACTACCTGGTATAACGTACACTACCTGGTATAACGTACACTACCTCGTATAACGTACACTACCCCGTATAATGTACACTACCTGGTATAATGTACACTACCCGGTATAATGTACACTACCTCGTATAACGTACACTACCTGGTATAATGTACGCTACCCTCGTATAATGTACACTACCTCGTATAATGTACACTACCTGGTATAACGTACACTACCTCGTATAATGTACACCACCTCGTATAATGTACACTACCTCGTATAATGTACACTACCTCGTATAATGTACACTACCCGTATAACGTACATATAATGTACACTACCTGGTATAATGTACACTACCTCGTATAATGTACACTACTCCTGGTATAATGTACACTACCTCGTATAATGTACACTACCTGGTATAATGTACACTACCTCATATAATGTACACTACCTGGTATAACGTACACTACCCTCGTGATATAACGTACACTACCTGGTATAATGTACACTACCTGGTATAATGTACACTACCCTCGTATAACGTACACTACCCCGTATAATGTACACTACCTCGTATAATGTACACTACCTCGTATAATGTACACTACCTGGTATAACGTACACCACCTGGTATAACGTACACTACCTCGTATAATGTACACTACCTCGTATAATGTACACTACCTCGTATAATACACTACCTGTATAACGTACTTACCTGGTATAACGTACACTACCTCGTATAATGTACACTACCTGGTATAACGTACACTACCTCGTATAATGTACACTACCTGGTATAACGTACACTACCTCGTATAACGTACACTACCTCGTATAATGTACACTACCTGGTATAACGTACACTACCTCGTATAATGTACACTACCTCGTATAACGTACACTACCTGGTATAATGTACACTACCTGGTATAACGTACACTACCTCGTATAATGTACACTACCCTCGTATAATGTACACTACCTCGTATATAACCTCGTATAACGTACACCACCCTCGTATAATGTACACTACACTACCTCGTATAACGTACACTACCTCGTATAACGTACACTACCTGGTATAACGTACACTACCTCGTATAACGTACACTACCTGGTATAACGTACACTACCTCGTATAACGTACACTACCTCGTATAACGTACACTACCTGGTATAACGTAACTACCCTGTACACTACACTCCTGTATAACGTACACTACCTCGTATAATGTACACTACCTCGTATAATGTACACTACCTGGTATAACGTACACTACCTCGTATAATGTACACTACCTCGTATAATGTACACTACCTCGTATAATGTACACTACCTGGTATAATGTACACTACCTCGTATAATGTACACTACCTCGTATAACGTACACTACCTCGTATAACGTACACTACATAACGTACCACTATAACGTACACTACCTGGTATAATGTACACTACCTACCACTGTATAATGTACACTACCTGGTATAACGTACACTACCTGGTATAATGTACACTACCTCGTATAACGTACACTACCTCGTATAATGTACACTACCTCGTATAATGTACACTACCTGGTATAATGTACACTACCTCGTATAACGTACACTACCTCGTATAATGTACACTACCTCGTATAATGTACACTACCTGGTATAATGTACACTACCTGGTATAATGTACACTACCTCGTATAATGTACACTACCTCGTATAAACGTACACTAATAACGTACACTACCTCGTATAACGTACACTACCTCGTATAATGTACACTACCTGGTATAATGTACACCACCTCGTATAATGTACACTACAACTCGTATAATGTACACTACCTCGTATAATGTACACTACCTGGTATAATGTACACTACCTCGTATAATGTACACTACCTCGTATAATGTACACTACCTCGTATAATGTACACTACCTCGTATAATGTACACTACCTCGTATAATGTACACTACCTCGTATAATGTACTCTACCTGGTATAATGTACACTATCTCGAATAATGGACACTACCTGGTATAATGTACACTAACTCGTATAATGTACACTACCTCGTATAATGTACACTACGTCGTATAATGTACACTACCTCGTATAATGTACACTACCTGGTATAATGTACACTACCTCGTATAATGTACACTACCTCGTATAATGTACACTACCTCGTATAATGTACACTACCTCGTACAATTTACACTACCTCGTATAATGATTTCCAGACTGTACAGAAGAGCTTCAATTTGATACCTGGTGCCAAATAATGCTAATTGTGGCTGATTTTGTCAGTAAATGCAATTTCCTGTCTCATTAACTTTTTGATGCATTTATATATTCACTTGTCTGTAAATATACTCTCCCCAAAAAGGAACGCATCATGAAAATAGCAATTTCATGTAGCAATGAATTAAAACGCGATTCATTTTACAGAAGGTTTTGCTCTGTTTATGAGTCCCATGGTGTTTATGTTTTGAAACATCACAACAAACAGCATGATTTTCAATTTCGGCGTGTAGTGTCACAGAATACACAATTCACATGCAATGCACGTGAAAGTTGGGGATCAAATAGTCTCAATGATGGGTATAAAAAGTTGATCGCTGTCTGTCGATTATTCACTGTATTTGGAACATTGTTGACAAACGCAAAATGCCACGTCTAAGTGAAGCCATATCGCCATTATTTTGCTTGAAGCTGGCCAGTCTCGACGTGCAGTTGCCCGACGCATGAATGTTCACCAAAGGTCCATTTCACGGCTCTGGGAGAGATATCGCCGTCAGAATGCGGTAGCAGATGCCCCTCGTAGTGGGCGACCTCATCACTGCATCCGGGTACATCACCTGCGTCATCGAACAGCTACGGCGACCAGTACCGCTCGACAAATACCCGGATTGAGGAGGCTTTCTGCACAGGCCGTCAGGAACAGGTTGAGAGAGGCTGGTTTACGTGCCAGAAGACCTTATTTTGACCCTGTGCTTCGACAACAACATCGTCGACATCGAGTTCAATGGTGCACCAACGTTCAGGCCTGGAACCTACCGAATTGGCGTAGAATCTGGTTCAGTGATGAATCACGATTTCTATTGGAACGACGCGATGGAAGAATGCGGTTGTACAGACGTCGATGTGAACGTTTCGCCGACGCTTGCGTTCCCCCGTTTGACAGATTCGTCCGGGACAGTGTTATGATGTGGGGGCCGATCACCTGCCGTAGGAGAAGTGATTTGGTGATGATCCAGGGCAACCCGACAGCTCAACGGTACTGTGACGAAATCCTACGCCCACACCTCTTTCCAATCATTGATCGCCAGAGGGAGTTGTTTCAACAGGACAATGCCAGGCCCCCACAGCACGTCACACTAGAGACTTCCTCCAGAACCACAACATCAATGTGCTCCCCTAGCCCTCAAGATCACCGGACTTAAACCCGATCGAACATCTGTGGGATGCCCTGGACAGACGGGTGCGACGCCGTAACCCTCAGCACCAGACACTTCAGCAACTCGTACAGGCACTACAGACAGAGTGGGCTGCGATTGGGCAGCACATGAGATTCTGAGACTTATTCCTTCGATGCCGTGCAGTTCTGGATGCCCACGGGGGTCACACGAGGTATTGACTTCAGCGCCACCAGACGTCTCCATGTGACACTCAAACTGACTTTCCTCGAGTTGGTGCCAAAGACGGATAAGTCTGCATCCCCAGTGTGCAATTTCGCTATATTTCATTGACTCATAAAGCCTACAAGATGTTTCAAAATAAACATAAAAATACAGTTGATATTCCTATATGCGTTTCTTTTTTGGGAGAGTATATCATTATGTATGTAATATGTTTATAACACTTGTAGAGGATAGTTTGGAAAATAGTTTGTCAAGTTTAAATAGGAGTCTCGGCCTGATGATAACAGTGTCAACATACCCGGTTCCATTTCCACATACTCAAGGGGGCACACAGTTTTCAGTTGACTGACTCTTTCTAAATCAGCCCCAGTCTGGCCGCCAACAACGCAGTGGTCAATCCGTCCACACTTATGGGAGCCCTTCAGTACCTGGACAACACGACAGGTCATCGTGTCAGACATATCTGGTATCATTAGCTTAAACATCAGTGTGGTTGATTACGTTATACTCGCCCCATGCATTGACACAATGCTTACTTGTTTGAAAACTGTCTTGGTTCCAAGAAGGCGACGAGGACTGTGTCTTTCTGTAGACACATATGGCTACAGAAGGTTCCGCATCATTGATGGGAGGGTTCACTCGAGAGTGTTCATACACGGGGCGCGGTGGGCGAGCTGGCTAAGGCGCCAGGCTAGTGATCCAGCGAGGTTGAGGTGTCGGGATCGAGCCCACCTGTGACCGGGAGTCAACTTTGTGTGCAGACTCTTTCAGACTCTTTCAGTGTTGTCACAACCCCTAGTGTAGAGTACATAGCCCTGTGCACTTAAAAGAACCCACGAATCCGATGGTATTAGACCAGATGGTGGCCACATGAATACGTGCAAACACCTAGTTGCGGGTACAGCAACGTGCAGTAAACATGGACAAAGTACTGTGTCCCAAAGTACTGGGTACCTCGTTAGGATGAGAAAGCCACAATAACTCGGTGCGCCTAGTGGCAGCAAGAGTTGTATACTCCCCAGGGAGTTGAGATTGATAATGCGATGTGCCGTTGAGATTGACATGCAATGATCGAGTGAAAAAATACCAGCGCCTTGAGCATGCACTAGTGCGTGCATATGTGCGCTATATAAATATCCTATAATAATAATAATAATTTCATTGAACGAAAATCAGGACTTGAACAACCATTTTACAATTCATAAGAAAAGGAGTGAAATCCTTCATATCGAGTTATATCTCTTTGAATGGTTCATATATATAAACCGTTGTCATGGAGATGGTGACACTCAGTTTCAAGAACATTTATGAAAACTGTGCGAAAACTGAGACTGGTCCGCACCGAACACGTCTTTCATTCAACAAATCACAAAACAGATTCGTGTACGTTTAGCCGGTGTTAAAATACCATGTGCGTGGGAAAGTAAAGAATTGGTTTCATATGTCCCGAGTGATCACACTCATTCCCGGTTGTATGGAGTCTATGAAGATTACCATCGTGTGAAATGTGAAACGGTACCTGAAGACATCCGTTTTCGATTGTGCACTGATCGATGGCCACAAACACACTCATCATGTCAGGGAAGAGGTTTCCGTTCTGGTACCAGTACCTGGCAGAAAGGATACATCTAACATCGTGTTGTCATGTCAAGGGTCCCCCGTGATGTTGCTGGAAGATTGCTAAAAGTGGCGTAATACCATACTCACTCACTCATGTCAATCAGATCTCGGGGAGGTGGGGTAGCCTAATGGTTAAAGCGTTGGCTCGTCACGCCGAACACCCGGGTTCGAATCCCCACATGGGCACAATGTGTGAAGCCCATTTCTGGTGTCCCCCGCCGTGATGTTGCTGGAATATTGCTAAAAGCGGCGTAAAACCAAACTCAGTCACTCACTCATGTCATTCAGATCTAAGCTATATTCAAGCTATATCACGGCACACTATGAATGAATGTTTATAAATGAAATGCCTGGACCACACTAGATATTGGGAGACAAATTATACCTTGGAAAGACAGTAGGGTGGATTGGAAACAACAACATATTTACCAAAGGAGCGTGATATGAAACTGTATGAATACATGAAAGTGATAAGGATTTCTTCAGTCAATGATGGCTACTTTCCAGAAGTCTGGTCACGCTCAATTATTGTCCAAGTTCATAAAAAGGGAGATGTAAACAACCCAGACAACTACAGAGGTATATCATTAATGAGTATTTTAGGTAAAGCTTTTACATCTATTCTCAATAATAGACTTACACTGTGGGCAAACATGCACGATAAAATTCCCGAATGTCAAGCAGGATTCAGGAAGTCTTATTCCACATCAGACCATATTTTCACCATACATGCAATTATTCAGAAATGTTTATCTCGACGCAAATCTAAATTGTATGTTGCATTTGTTCGACTCAGTTGATCGTTCCAAACTATGGTTTTGTCTTAGAAATGCTGGCCTGGGAGGCAAAATGTACACCATGCTTACGTCATTGTATTCAAATATCAAATCATGTGTACGCAGTCAAGGTGGTTTATCTGATTTTTTATTGTCCAGTCGGTTTAAGACAAGGATGTATTATGAGCCCTATCCTGTTCTCTTTCTTCATAAACGAGTTATATAATGATATTTCGCTGCAAGGTAAGCATGGTGTCCAGTTATTTCCCGACATTATTGAAATATTTATGTTACTTTTTTGCAGACGATGTAATTCTAGTATCTACCTCAATTATTGGGTTACAAAACCAACTAAACATACTAGAAAGATATTCTTCAGAATGGTCGCTATCAGTAAATCTTGAAAAGACTAATATTGTTGTATTTAGAAAAGGTGGTCCCCTCTCTTCGAAGGATGGGCACAATGTGTTAAGCCCATTTCTGGTGTCCCCCGCCGTGATATTGCTGGAATATTGCTAAAAGCGGCGTAAAACCAAACTCAGTCAGTCAGTCTTCGAAGGAAAAGTGGTGTTTTAATTCTAAACCCATTAATGTCGTAAATCATTATAAATACCTCAGTGTAAAGCTTTTCTTTACTATGAACTGGACACATTGTGCTGCAGATTTAGCTCTCAGAGCTAAGAAAGCACTGTTATACCTCATGTCTGTTTATAACAACGTTGGTTTCCTTACCCACAACGTGTTTTTCAAATTATTTGATGTACAAATTCAGCCTATTCTTTTGTACGGTTCCGAAATATGGGGCTTCCAACCTTTCCAAGCGCTTGAAAAGATACACTTACTGGCCTGCAAGAAATTTCTAGGCCTTACACAATCTACCCCTAACGACATGGTATATGGAGAATGTGGGGAGATTTCCAGTTTTCATTAATGCTCAAATTAGATGCTTAAAATACTGGCTAAAGATAGTACAAATGCATGATCACCGTCTCCCGAAAATTTCCTACAATATGCTTCTACATTTAGACAGTAACGGCAAAGAAACGTGGGCGTGCCATATAAGGAACCTTCTTCGTTCTAAAGGTTTTGGTATCGTCTGGTTAAACCAAGGCGTAGGTAATGTCAATGTTTTCCTGAACCAGTTTAGAGATCGCTGTATATGTATTTTCCAACAAGAATGGCACTCGAGGTTAGAAGAAAGCTCCCGTTTTGATTGTTACAGACAGTTTAAGTCCCTTTTAGAACCAGAAAGATATTTATCCCTCGTGACTACAAAGAATCTGAGACTGCTACTTGTAAAATTTAGATTGGGGCTATTAGATTTAAAAGTAAATGAAGGAAGAAGACTATCCATTGATAGAAATTATAGATCATCTCCATTTTGTAAAAAAGGCATTGAAGACGAATTACATTTTCTTGTTGAATGTCCAGCCTATGATAAAATCCGTTCTGATTATCTCCGTAACTGTATTACAATCAGAAGTAATAATGCAGCATTTTACAAAATTGTTTCCTCATGCGATGTCTCCATTTTAAAAAGATTATTACTGTATATCCATCATGCTATTATGTTAAGAAAACAATTGTTATCCTCCTAAATAAGAACCTTCTTTGTAACCGCTGTATATGGGCCGGTGGCCTTACATACAAATAAACATATTTTGACTTTGACAGTCATAAACCTCTGCTAACATCAGTTTTCTGAGTTCGATACAGACCGCGGGCACCTTTATAATACCTGCGTCATCAATCACAAACACAGGCAAAGGCAAGGCATATACATGTCGAGTACAGAGTTCAAGTCCAAATGGGGAATTATTGGAAATCATTTTAGTCATAAAAGCTGTAACCCTGGTCCGACAACTTTTGTTATTTTATAGAAACGGAACCGTTCGACACTCTTCGAAGAAAGAACATGATAAATTGTTCCAAAAATATTCTGTTGGCATTTCATAACGAACGACCATCACCATCCGTACAAGAGACGCATCTATGTAAAGACGCTGGAGTTTCCATTATCCTTTTATTGTTCACAAATGATTCCTACCCGTAGTCCTGATGCCAGACAAATTTGCCTCCAGACTGAGGGTTCTTCATCATCAGCTTGCCATGATAGTGGTACACCTCATCCCCTAAGAGCTGAAAGTTACAAAACATCTTCACCGGGAAATATCTGCTAAAATGTGATTGTACGAATCTGGCTGTATCATAAGATGTGTTTAGGAACAGTGATGACACCTTTCCTTCTTGTAAGTCATACATGTCATCTTCCCCAGTCATACATGTCATCTTCCCCCAGTCATACATGTCATCTTCCCCTAATCATACATGTCATCTTCCCCAATCATACATGTCATCTTCTCCCAGTCATACATGTCATCTTCCCCAATCATACATGTCATCTTTCCCCAATCATACATGTCATCTTCCCCCAGTCATACATGTCATCTTCCCCAATCATACATGTCATCTTCCCAGTCATACATGTCATCTTCCCCCAATCATACATGTCATCTCCCCCAGCATACATGTCATCTTCCCCAATCATACATGTCATCTTCCCCAAATTAAACATATTCATCTTGTCCCACTTCCATACATGTCATCTTCTTCAGATAATACATGTTATCTTCCCCAGTCATACATGTCATCTTCTCCCAATCATACATGTCATCTTCCCCCAATCATACATGTCATCTTCTACCAGTCATATATGTCATCTTCTTCTCCAAGTCATATATGTCATCTTCCCCAGTCATATATGTCATCTTCCCCTAATCATACATGTCATCTTCTCCCCTAATCATACATGTTATTCTCCCCTCAGTCATACATGCATCATCTCTCTAATTAAACATGTCATCTTCCCCTAATCATATATATGCCATCTTCCCCTAATCATACATGTCATCTTCCCCCCAGTCATACATGTCATCTTCCCTAAGCATCTTTCCCCTTAGTCATACAGGTCATCATCTTCCCCTTATTAAATATGTCATCTTCCCTAATCATATATGTCATCTTCACCTATAATCATATATGTCATCTTCCTCTAGTCATACATATGTCATCTTCTCCCTCAATCATACATATGTCATCTTTCCTCTAATGATACATGTCATCTTCCCTAGTCATATATGCTTCATCTTCCCCTAGTCATACATGTCATCTTCCCCTAATCATACATGTCATCTTCCCCCTAAGCATCTTTCCCCTCAATCATACATGTCATCTTCTTCCCTAAGTCATACATGTCATCTTTCCACCAATCATACATGTCATCTTCCCACTCAATCATATACATGCGATCTTTTTTCCTAATCATACATGCTATCATCCCCTAGTCATACATGTCATCTTCCCCTAATCATACACGTCATCTTCCCTAATCATACCTATCATCTTCCCCAAGCATCTTCCCCTAATCATACATGTCATCTTCCCCTAGTCATACATGTCATCTTCCCCCTAGTCATACATGTCATCTTCTCCTCTCAGCCATACATGTCATCTTCCCCTAATCATACATGTCATCTCCCCTAATCATACATGTCATCTTCCCCAGTCATACATGTCATCTTCTCCCCAGTCATATATAAGTCATCTTCCCTAATCATATATATGTCATCTCTCCCCAGTCATACATGTCATCTTCCCCTAGTCATGGCATGTAATTCTTTCACCTAGTCATACATGTCATCTTCCCCTAGTCATACATGTCATCTTCTACCTAGTCATATATGTCATCTTCCCCTAGTCATACATGTCATCTTCCACTAACTCATTCATATGTCATCTTCTACCTAGTCATACATGTCATCTTCACCTAGTCATATATATGTCATCTTCTAGATCATACATGTCATCTTCTCCCTAAGTCATACATGTCATCTTCCCTAGTCATACATGTCATCTTACTCCTAGTCATACATGTCATTTTCTACCTAGTCATACATGTCATCTTCCCCTAATCATACATGTCATCCTGCCTCTAATCATGCATGTTCATATCTTCACATCATACATGTCATCTTCTCCCCCAGTCAGTCATACATGTCATCTTACCTAGTCATACATGTCATCTTCCCCAGTCATACATATAATCATCTTCTAATTCTGTCATACATGTCATCTCCTCACCATACAGTCATACATGTCATCTTCTGCCCAGTCATCATACATGTCATCTTCCCCTAGTCATAAGCATGTCATCTTCTATACTGTCATACATGCTCATCTTCCCCTAGTCATACATGTCATCTCTCCCCCAATCATCATACATGTAATCTTTTCACCTAGTCATATATATGTATTTTCTAGATCATATATGTCATCTCCCTCTAGTCATACATGTCATCTTCCCCCAGTCATATATGTCATCTTCTACCTAGTCATACATGTCATCTTCACCCAGTCATAATGTACATTTCACTCTTTTACCTATAAGTCATCTTTCTAGATCATACATGTCATCTTTCCTCTAATCATATATGTTATCTTCTTCCTAAGTATATACATAAGTCATCTTCTAGCTAGTCATATATGTCATCTTCCCCTAGTCATACATGTCATCTCTCCCCTAATCACATGTCATCTTCCCCCTAATCATACATGTCATCATCTTCTCCTCTAATCATACATGTCATTCTTGTCCAGTCTAGTCATACATAAGCATATCTTTCCCCTCTATCATACATACTCATCTTCCCTCTAGTCATACATGTCATCTTCCCCTAGTCATACATGTTTCATCTTCTACCTTGTCATAAGCATACATAAGCCATCTTCACTACCTAGTCATACATAAGCCATCTCTTCACCTAGTCATACATGTTATCTTCTCAACTGTCATATATATAATATCATCTTCCCCCTAGTCATATATAAGTCATCTTCCCCACTAATCATTCATGTCATCTTCACCTAGTCATACATGTCATCTTCAATCTAGTCATACATGTCATCTTCTAGATCATATATATCATCTCTCCCCTCAGTCATACATGTCATCTTTTCCCTAGTCATACATGCTTCATCTTCCCCCAGTCATACATGTCATCTCTCACCTAGTCATATGTCATCTTCTTCACCTAGTCATACATGTCATCATTCTCCCCTAGTCATACATGTCATCTTCACTGTGTCATACATGTCATCTTCTTCCCCCCAGTCATACATGTCATCTTCTTCCCCTAAATCATCCATGTCATCTTCACCTTAGTCATACATGTCATCTTCACCCAGTCATACATGTCATCTTCTAGATCATACATATCATCTTCCCCCCAGTCATACATGTCATCTTCACCTAGTCATACATGTCATCTTCTCCCCTAGTTATACAGCATCTTCTCAATTTGTCATATATGTCATCTTCTCACCTTAGTCATACATGTCATCTTCCCCTAGTCACACATGTCATCTTCTCAATTCTGTCATACATAAGTCATCTTCCCCTAGTCATACATGTCATCTTCTCCCCTCATAGTCATACATGCATGTCATCTTCTCCCCTAGTCATACATGTCATCTTCCCCTAGTCATATACATGCTCACCTTCCCCTAATCATACTTTGTGTTATCATCTTTCACCTAGTCATACATGTCATCTTCTCTTAGATCATATATGTCATCTTCCCCTAGTCATACATAAGTTATCTTCCCCCTAGTCATACATGTCATCTTCACCTAGTCATACATGTCATCTTCCCCTAGTCATACATGTAATCTTTCTCCTCCTAATCATAATGTCATCTTCTTCCCCTAGTCATACATGTCATCTTCCCCTAGTCATACATGTCATCTTCCCCTTAATCATACATGTCATCTTTCTCCCAGTCATACATGTCATCTTCCCCTAATCATACATGTTATCATTCTTCCCTCAATCATATACATGTCATCTTCCCTAGTCATACATGTCATCTTCTCTAGTCATATATGTCATCTTCCCCCTAATCATATATGTCATGTCATCTTCCCCAAGCATCTTCTCCTCTAATCATACATAAGCCATCTTCCCAAAGTCATACATGTCATCTTCCCACTAATCATACATGTCATCTTCCACCAATCATACATGTAATCTTCCCCTAGTCATACATGTCAATATTCCCTAGTCATATATGTCATCTTCCCCTAATCATACATCGTCATCTTCTCCCCTAATCATACTCTATCATCTTCCCCTAAGCATCTTTCTCCCCTAATCATACATGTCATTCTTCCCCTAGTCATACATGTCATCTTCCCCTAGTCATACATGTCATCTTCTCCTCAGCCATACATGTCATCTTCCCCTAATCATACATGTCATCTTCTCCCTAATCATACATGTCATCTTCCCCCTAATCATACATGTCATATTCCCCTAGTCATACTTATGTCATCTTCCCCAATCATACATGTCATCTTCCCCAAAGTGATACATGCTCATCTTCCCCTGAGTCATATACATGTCATCTTCACCCCAGTCATACATGTCATCTTTTCCCTAGTCATACATGTCATCTTCTCCTTTCTTTCATACATGTCATTCTCCCCCAGTCATACATGTCATCTTCTACCAATCATTCATGTCATCTTTCACCCTAGTCATACATGTCATCTTCTTCACCTAGTCATACATGTTCTACATTCATCTTCTAGATCATACATGTCATCTTCCCAGTAGTCATACATGTCATCTTCCCCTAGTCATACATATCATCTTCCCTCAGCCATACATGTCATCTTCTCCCCTAATCATACATGTCATCTTCCCCTAATCATACATGTCATCTTCCCCAATCATACATATCATCTTCCCCCCCAGTCATACATGTCATCTTCCCCTAATCATACATGTCATCTTTCCCCAGTGATACATGTCATCTTCCCCTGGTCAGCTATGTCATCTTCTACCTAGTCATACATGTCATCTTTCCCTCAGTCATACATGTCATCTTCCCCAGTCATACATGTCATCTTCCACCAATCATTCATGTCATCTTCACCCAGTCATACATGTCATCTTCACCTTCAGTCATACATGTCATCTTCAGATCATACATGTCATCTTCCCCTAGTCATACATGTCATCTTCCCCAATCATACATGTCCTCTTGCCCCCAGTCATACATGTCATCTTCCCCTAATCATACAGGTCATCTTCCCCCAGTCATACATGTCATCTTCACCCCTGTCATACATGTCATCTTCCCCAGTCATACATGTCATCTTCCCCAATCATACTTTGTCATCTTCACCCAGTCATACATGTCATCTTCAGATCATACATGTCATCTTCTCCCCAGTCATACATGTCATCTTCCCCAGTCATACATGTCATCTTCACCCAGTCATACATGTCATCTTCCCCAGTCATACATACATCATCTTCCCCCAATCATACATGTCATCTTGCCCCAGTCATACATGTCATCTTCCCCTAATCATACAGGTCATCTTCCCCAAGTCATACATGTCATCTTCCCCAGTCATACCCCCTAGTCATACATGTCATCTTCACTTCTCCCAGTCATACATGTCATCTTCACCTAGTCATACATGTCATCTCTCCCCTAATCATACATGTCATCTTCACTGTGTCATACATGTCATCTTCCCCCAGTCATACATGTCATCTTCCCCAATCATTCATGTCATCTTCACCTAGTCATACATGTCATCTTCTAGATCATACATATCATCTTCTCCCCAGTCATACATGTCATCTTCACCCAGTCATACATGTCATCTTCCCTAGTCATACATGTCATCTTCAATTCTGTCATACATGTCATCTTCACCCAGTCATACATGTCATCTTCCCCCTAGTCATACACATGTCATCTTCACCCAGTCATACATGTCATCTTCACCTAGTCATACAGGTCATCTTCTTCCCCCAGTCATACATGTCATCTTCCCCAATCATACTTGTCATCTTCACCCAGTCATACATGTCATCTTCAGATCATATATGTCATCTTCCCCCAGTCATACATGTCATCTTCCCCAATCATACATGTCATCTTTTCCCTAATCAAACATGTCATCTTCCCCAATCGTACATCTCATCTTCCCCCAGTCATACATGTCATCTTCCCCCAATCATACATGTCATCTTCCCCAATCATACATGTCATCTTCCCCAATCATACATGTCATCTTCCCCCAATCATACATGTCATCTTCCCCCAATCATACATGTCATCTTCCCCAGTCATACATGTCATCTTCTCCCAGTCATACATGTCATCTTCCCCCAATCATACATGTCATCTCCCCGTCATACATGTCATCTTCCCCCAGTCATACATGTCATCTTCCCCAATCATACATGTCATCTTCCCCAATCATACATGTCATCTTCCCCTAATCATACATGTCATCTTCCCCCAGTCATACATGTCATCTTCCCCAGAAGATCAGTGTTTCCATTTAACCCTTAAAGCTGCAGGCCCTAAGGACCCAGAACCATAAAGGGTTGTGGGTCCTGATCAGAATATGTAGGCCCTATATTTTGATATGGACACAATACTCTTAGTTATTAGGGATTTATTTACAGACCGCCGCCATATAGGTGCATTTCTTTACTGAATAAATCGATAAGCAAATAAAACAAACAATCACTTGAGTTCTTCACATATTTCACGATATGTTAAAACTGAAAATAATCAATATCACAAATATTTTCACCACTTTTTAATAATGTTCTGTAACACAACAAGCAAACTAAAATACAATGTAGAATCGATAACTGAATTATAGTTAAATATTACAAATTTCACACAAATCTCACCTTTTCACATGTTTTGATGACCCTTGCGCTCCTGGCTAGTATGCCAGTGACGTCACTTCCGGGATGATCCCATGCCACCATTCTGCTTTTCCGTCCTGCGCCATCGTCCAGCTATAACGACGGAGTGGTGAAAGTTAGTCCCAAATAAAATTTAAAAAAGGTCAGTAAACTATATGAAACTGACAGTAGAACTTATAGCCTCCTCATTACAAAGTTAGAAAGCATTGTAATGTGGACTATCACGTGACCGTTTGCCTTACTCTACCAATTTTGCACGCGAGTGCATACATCGTCACGGTCAGCGATATTCTATCAATAAACAGTGCCATTTAGAAAGTGGTCAAATGTAACATATGTTATATTTGGGATTACACTTTCTTAGTAAAGTACAGATTCTAGTACTTTTGTTGGGTTGAGTCCCATCCGGGATTCGAACCCACGCCCTCAGAGTCCGGCACCTAATCACTAGCACACAAAGTCAGACGCCCAACCCGCTCAGCCATCGCGGCTTCCATGAAAGGTTACCAGTAGTCCGGCTTTCATTTTTGTGGAAGCCGCGGTGACTGAGTGGGTTGGGCGTCTGACTGTGTGCTGGTGATTAGGTGCCGGACTCTGAGGGCGTGGGTTCGAATCCCGAATGGAACGCAACGCAAGAAAAGTACTAGAATCTGTATCATTCTACTCAGAGCACTGACAGACCAGTGACTGAAACCAGGAGCAAAGATTAAAGGTGTCGGGGCCAGACCATCCGATCCTCTTAGCCTCAATATAAAATTTCAAGCTTGTCTATGCTCAACCAGCCGAGACCGCCTCCGTGGTGTAGTGGTTAGAGCGTCCGCCCGGAGAGCGGAAGGTCGCGGGTTCGATCCCCGACCGCGTCATACCAAAAGATGTTAAAATATGGTACTTGTTGGTCCCTGTCTGGCGCTCGGCATTAATGGGTACAACAAGGACTGGTCGGCTCGGAGTCAGTATACTGTGTCTGAGTGGGGTATTCATGCTTCACTGCGGCATGGTATCTCAGTGGGATAGCACTATAAAACCAGCTTAAGTCTGGGCTAGTACAAGCAGCCGCACATTCACATACACACGCATGCACGTCGTCATATGAGCGAAATATTCTCAAGCACGACGTTAAACCCAATTCCACTACCACCATCAACGAGCCGAAAGTGTAATGGTCAAGCAAAAAGGTTTGATTCCATTTCTTGAAATGAACTCAATTTATTGCAAGTTAGGTCAACGATTCTTATGCACTGCAGGAAGTTTGAGGAGACATAAAACACTGTTTTTACGAACACCTGGTGTCATCACTGATGTTCAGTGGTCTATTCATATGATTTTCACAGCTACTATGCCCTATGGTGGCGTGTGGGTTTGTTCACCAGGTCACTATAGTCCGTTTGGCTCAAAATTGATGAATTGCAATCTAACTCGAAAACAACTAAACATAGAATATTCAATGAAACACTAATCATAATCATAGCATCAGACCAACTCTGTGATTTTTTTTGCAGAATTTATGACCTAAAAATATAATAGTTGTTTAACAAACTAATCATTAAAATGTTGACACAGTTCACTATTTGTAACGAGGGTGGACTACAAAGGGAGGAACAGCCAGGTGTACGTGAAGCACATGCACAAGTGCCGACAAAGTCCTTGATTCATTAACCTGTGCTGTGCCGTCTCCATTCTTTTTTGCACACCTGGCTGTTCCTCTCTTTTCGCCCCTCCCTCGTAACAAATAGTGAACTGTGTCAAGATTTAAATGATAGTTTGTTAAACAACTTTTTTATTTTTAGGACATAAATTCTGAAATAAAATCACAGAGTTGGTATGATGTTTTGATTATGATCCGTGTTTCATTGAGTACTATATGATTAGTAGTTTTCGAGTTAGATTGCAATTCATCGGTCCGATTTTGAGCCAAACGTACTATAATCAGTTGAAGTTAGGAACGTTGGTCATGAAGATTCCTTAGATGGGTGACCGTGTTTGGCAGCTTGACTCGTGAGAGATTCTAGTACTTCAGTCCTGCGCCACAACGAAGCACACGAGACACATGTGCTCTCACCTTAGGCAAATGAGTTTGTTCAAAATCCTACTCTGTTATCAGTGCTATCCGGGGTAATAATGCGATATCTAGCGCTTTGAGCAGGCACAAGTGCGTGGAAATAGGCGCTTTATAAATAGTCATTATTACTACTATTTACACCAACTGCAATGTATTTCTGGATAGGGACTGGGTATTATGTTTGTTTATAGCTAAAATGGATAAAATTATCATGAAAATGCCCGCAGGTTATCAGAAATGAGCGGGCCACTGTTATAAGGGTAATGCTATTTTTGGGGGCATTATCATTTGCAGAAGCCCGAGGTCTTCCATTAACTGTCCGACGAAGGAGGGCAGTTGAAAAAAGACCGAGGGCTTCTGCAAATGATAATGCCCTAAAAAATAGCATTACCGTTATTATTACTAAAATACATGGAATTTGTGTTGAAAAGAAAAAAGGAAACAATGAAGGAATTTGACTGTAAGTTTACTCAAAACCATCTTCTGACGGGGTTGACTGACCGAATGCAATTACGTCATCGAACAATTCAAGTAACGTCACAACAGAACGTGACGATATTCGACCTTGGCCTTTGACAAGACCATGGCCTGCAACAGGTTAAACTATGTCAGACACAACGTCAGTTGTCAGTGTTCGGTTTTGGTCCAACAACAACGTTAATAGTGCAATTGTTAAGGTTAGCACCAGCAAGAAAGCCAATATTACCGCTATTTAAAGTGGGAATTCGGGTTGCTTTGACTTTTTTGCCCCAGAATATCTGCCAGTCCAAAGCCAATTAATGTCGAATGAACCGACGCACCCACTATGACGTCACTTGACAACAGAACTGATAGTGGCCCGTCGTTAAGGTTGAGCGGTCCAATATCATTTGCAGCGGCCCGCAAATTTCTGATAATAGGAGGGCCGTTTCATGATAATTCCATGTGTTTTAGCTATAAAACTTGATAATGCTCCAAAATGCTTGACGACGGGCCATTATCATGCCCGTTGTTAGGTGACGTCATAAGGAGGTCAGCTCTTGATGTTCAACGGCTCGTTTGAACTTGGGTTAAATATTGACGTTATTTCTGACTCAATATCAATCTCAACTTGAATTCCCATACATTACAACATGCAGCAATGAAAACATCGACTGGAATGTTGTTGAGCACTGAAAAAAATGGCGGCTGGTAGTATTGGCAAAGGTCAAGGTCAAGTTCGAATGTCGCCACGCTTAATAGTGACGTCATCTGTTTTGTTTTTGACGTTTCCATGCTTAATGAGTCAGTGACCTCCGTCGTATGTTGTTAGCAGTATGTGCTTCAGAACCGATACCGTGGTTTGTTTTTATTCTATTAAAAATTCTATCCATTCTGCAAATGATAATGCATTGTAAAATAGCGCTACCCTACCAATATTTCGGGGATACAGCAATTCATGTTTACAACTCGTCCCCAGCTATCTGTGCTTGCTTGTGAAACGAGACTTCGTAACTGATCTCGTGGTCAGACTGGGTCAGTTTGAAGAGCAGTGTTATCTACCCTATAAAGCATGAAGTGTTGTTATCAATCACTGGTGTCTAGTTTCTAGTTTCGATTCAATCTTTATTCGGTACTATTTTATCTATTTAATTTTTTTTTATTATAGGATATTTATATAGCGCACATATCCACACACTAGTGCATGCTTAAGGCGCTGTTATGTTTCCCCTCGATCATTGGATGTCAATCTCAACGGCTCATCGTATTGTGAATCTCAACTCCCTGGGGAGTATACAACTCTTGCTGTCACCAGGCGCACTGAGTAATTGTGGCTTTCTCATCCTAACGAGGTACCCATTCACAGCTGGGTGGACTGGGACACATAGTCACAGTACTTTGTCCAAGTTGCACGTTGCTGTACCCGCAACTAGGTGTTTGCACGCATTCATGTGGCCACCATCTGGTCATATACCAACGGCTTCGTGGGTTCTTTTAAGTGCACAGGGTTGTGTACTGTACACTAGGGGTTGTGACAACACTGAAAGAGTCTGCACACAAAGTTGACGCCAAGGTTTTTACACCCGGTCACAGGTGGGCTCGATCCCGGCACCTCAACCTCGCTGGATCACTAGCCTGGCGCCTTAGCCAGCTCGCCCAGCTCGCCCACCGCGCCCCTAATATATAGTTCCCCCTATAGTACATTTATATACACAATATTTACGACTGAGCAGCAGAAAAGAATTTGTCAAATTTTACAGATTACAAATTTAAAGCAGGTTTATTTTCTATGTGTCAATGTAAACTTGATATACATTGACAGGTTCTGTAGTTCAATAGTATTCTCATTTGGTAATAGTATAGTCATTTTTATTTCATTTGGATAGGTATATAGTAGGATGTTAAATATTTCTGTCTAAGGTTTTCATAAGCAGGGCAGAAAAAAGGAAAATGGTATTCGTCTTCTACAGCATTAACGTTACGGAGGTTGCAAATTCTATGATTACGAGGAATATTAATATAACGCCCAGTTCCAACAAACATCTCGTGCGATGAGCAGCGAAAACGGGATAAAGCTACACATCTCGATTACGCACAGGCAGCTTTTGCACAGAGCGAAGTTCGACGCCAATACAAAATAGTGTGATTCCATCACCTACATTGAAAGCATGCTGCGAGAACGCCTCGTTCGTCTCCACCGACTTGGTCAGTTTACCGACTTCATCCTTGTCAAGCAAACCTCTGTAAATGGAACATATGCCATGACTCACGTGTTAATATTGTCATGACTCACGTGTTAATGTTGTCATGACTCACGTGTTAATATTGTCATGACTCACGTGTTAATATTGTCATGACTCACGTGTTAATATTGTCATGACTCACGTGTTAATATTACCATGACTCACGTGTTAATATTGCCAAGACTCACGTGTCAATATTGTCATGACTCACGTGTTAATATTACCATTACTCACGTGTTAATATTGTCATGACTCACGTGTTAATATTGCCATGACTCACGTGTTAATATTGTCATGACTCACGTGTTAATATTGTCATGACTCACGTGTTAATATTACCATGACTCACGTGTTAATATTGCCATGACTCAGGTGTTAATATTGCCATGACTCAGGTGTTAATATTGCCATGACTCACTTGTTAATATTGCCATGACTCACGTGTTAATGTTGCCATGACTCACGTGTTAATATTACCATGACTCACGTGTTTATATTGTCATGACTCACGTGTTAATATTGTCATGACTCACGTGTTAATATTGTAATGACTCACGTGTTAATATTGTCATGACTCACGTGTTAATGTTGCCATGACTCACGTGTTAATATTGCCATGACTCACGTGTTAATATTGTCATGACTCACGTGTTAATGTTGCCATGACTCACGTGTTAATATTGTCATGACTCACGTGTTAATATTGTCATGACTCACGTGTTAATATTACCATGACTCACGTGTTAATATTGTCATGACTCACGTGTTAATATTGCCATGACTCACGTGTTAATGTTGCCATGACTCACGTGTTAATATTGCCATGACTCACGTGTTAATATTGCCATGACTCACGTGTTAATGTTGCCATGACTCACGTGTTAATATTGCCACTACTCACGTGTTAATATTGTCATGACTCACGTGTTAATATTGTCATGACTCATGTGTTAAATATTGCCATGACTCATGTGTTAATATTGTCATGACTCAGGTGTTAATATTGTCATGACTCAGGTGTTAATATTACCATGACTCACGTGTTAATATTGTCTTGACTCACGTGGTAATATGGTTTCTCTCAAGGCTACAACCATGTCTGAACCCTAGATCATCCCAAGAAATACCATATTGGAGTGAGTGAGTTTAGTTAAGTGCACTCAGCAATATTCCAGCTATATGGAGGCGGTCTGTAAATAATCAAGTCTGGACCAGAGAATCCAGTGATCAACAGCATGATTGGGATATGATGACATGTGTTAATGAAGTTAGCGAGCCTGACCACCCGATCCCGTTAGTCGCTTCTTACGGCAAGGATGAGTTACTGAAAATCAATTCTAACCCGGATCTTCACGGGTAAACTTATTTGATCGGGTGGCGACTTACAGTGTGTGCCATGCTTGCCTATCCATGATACCAATCACTCATCTGACAGGTCAAAACTCTATTCTCAAACAGAAATATGCATAAAATCTTGTATTTCTCGATCAAGGATCTCAGGCTGACAGACCAATTATCGTTATCAGCGATTCGGATATTGATTAGCTGGCTTGGCAACCAGTGACGCCAAAAGGCCAAATATTGTTATAAAATTTGGAAAGCATTATGGTATTGTTCTAATCTATAGAAGTTTAATCCTCACCGAATAATGACGAATCCCGCCTCATCAAAACTTCTCTTCATTTCATCGGTCGCTGTGAAGGGCCTTCCATAACGGAACTCTAGAATTAATAGGAATCAGAATTATCAATGTAATTATACAGAAACGAAATGAACGACTAAATGTTTGATTTGAAAACATAATAAAAAGATCACAAAAGTAAATTGGATAAATATATCACACACATAGCCATATCGAATGCACGTACAAATGCTCTCACTCACACACGCACACAGACGCATACAATATGAATTATATGTAAAAAAATAATCACCATCCTGTACCACAAATCAAACATTATAAAAGTAAAAACGACGAATTTGTTTAGTAGCAACAAGGAATTTCTAATGAAAGTTGTTTGTGCGATTTTATTATTGTATTGTGAGTATGTATCAAAGTAAGAGTGATGTTGTCATAAAGGTGGTTGTATCCTGTCCCAACGGTATCGTGCAAAAAACACATGTAATGGCAAGGCAACACCAGAACAAACACTGGAATATAATAAATGTAAATATTCAAAATAGCATGCTACATCGGATAATTTGAAATGTTCTTTCCAGTGTCTTTCCCAAACTTAAATAGGAACTCTATTCTATAAAAATTCTTTTCACCATTGTAATCGTACGAGAATGGGAATCTATTTGTTTGAATGTTGTTTAACGCTGTAAATAACCAATCTTGACCCCTTGGTGACGATCCTCTTACAAGGACTCATCCCGAACTCAACAAACGAACAAACTCACACATCTAACAAACTGGATGAGAAAAACAATATTTATATTAGGAAAAAATGGTCTCACTGTCTCCTACGTAGGACTTAATATCTCCTACTTAATTAGTACTTAATATCTCTTACGTAGTACTTAATATCTCCTACGTAGTGCTTAATATCTCTTACGTAGTACTTAATATCTCCTACGTAGTACTTAATATTTCCTACGTAGTATTTAATATCTCCTACTTATAGTACGACTTAATATCTCCTACGTAGTACTTAATATCTCCTACGTAGTACTTAATATCTCCTACTTAGTACTTAATATCTCCTACGTAGTATTTATTATCTCCTACGAAGTACTTAATATCTCCTACGTAGGACTTAGTAACTCATCCACATAACTGCAGGATTCTTGTCAATTTCTCTTTACAACTCACCGACCATTAGTTGTGCATGTATACTCAGCAGCAAAAAAAACGTCAGTGCGAATTTCAAAATGAGATAGGCACTGTAATCAAATCATTACAGAAATGGACATAATAAGTGGATCAAAAACAGTTTTTGTGTACAATATCTTGACACATCAATGAATAACTCAGCACAATTCCAAGACATTACGTGAACGTTTGCAGTCCATTCAGACTCTTGACTTCAGTATCTAGTGTGACCACCACGAGCGGCAATAACTGCAGCACAGCGTCTATGCATGGAGTGCACCAATCGATTGTTGAAGGTCATTGGCACCTGGAACCGCACTCTGAGAAAGGCCTGGCGCAATAAATCGGCTGTGTTCGGCCTTGGTATGGCATTATTCAGTCTCCTCTGAATTTCATTCAAAGATGATCAACTGGGTTTAAATCAAGACTAGGGGCTAGCCTCTGCATAATGTTGACATCGTTCTGCTGTAGGGAGTTCAGTGTAGCTCTGACAGTATGGACCCGGGCGTTATCATGCTGGAAAATGTTGTTTCGGTGACGTGCTAAATGTGGTATGACGTGGAGTCTGAGAGCTTGGTCGATGAAGCGCACCGCTATGATGCCGCCTCCTGTCCCTGTAACAAGGTTCTGGAACACCAAAGGACTCAGTCTCTGGTTCAGGCCTATTCCAACCCATACCATGATGCTTGAACCTCCCCATGATTCTCTATCCATAACATATTGGTCTGAGTAACGCTGGCCACGTTGTCGCCATATTCTTGCTCTGCCATCTGCAGTTGATACGCAGTACCGACTCTCATCTGTGAACAGAACAGTTCTCCATTGCCTGTATCGCCAGTTTTGGTGTTGTCGGGCAAACTGTAGACGATAACGCCGATGACGAGGGGTGAGGATAGGTCCACGGTAAGGTCTACGGATGAGGTTCCTGCTGATAAGACGTCGGCGTACTGTATCAGAACTGATTGGTCTTCCGTGTGTTTCCACTGTCTGGCATGCTGTTTCGGATGCCTGCATGAAGGGATTCTGTACATGCTGTCGCACAATATGGCGGTCTTGTCGTCTTGTTGTCACCCTTGGTCTGCCAGTACGGGGGCGATCATTTGTGGTGTTGGTGACCCGGAAACGTTGCTGCAGCCTGTAGATAGTCCGAACGTTGACCTGGAAGTGATTGGCAAGGACTTTTGCAGTGTGGCCAGCTTCAAGTCTTCCTAGCGCCTGGTTCCTCTGAGCTGTCGGGGGCGGTGGGGTAGCCTACTTGTTAAAGCGTTGGCTCGTCACGCCGAAGCCCCGGGTTCGAATCCCCACATGGGTACATTGTGTGAAGCCCATTTCTGGTGTCCCCCGCCGTAATGTTGCTGGAATATTGCTGGAATATTGCTAAAAGCTGCGTAAAACAAAACTCACTCACTCACTCTGAGCTGTCGTGAGTCGCGGCATCCTGCTGACGTTGTAATGTGAATGTTTCAGGGTGCATTTTATAGGGCTGGTCCTTGTAAACAGCACGTGCAGCATGGAAAACACCGTACCATCTCCGAGATCAGGTTACGTTTTTGAGACCATTTCCTGGGTTCCATTCTGAGCTTGGGAAGGAATGTCTTTGCTCAGGTAAAGTTCGAGATGTCAAAAATATACAATCAAAATATTAAATGAGTTTACAGTTATCCGTTTCTGCGACGGAAACATCCAAACTGACGTTTCTTTTGCTGCTTAGTGTATATACACAAGCATCAAAAACTGATTGTTTGCCTGTCTGGGGATTTAAATCGACCATTTCGGAATAATGTACATTAATACATATCGCTCATCTCCAACGTAGGAGATATTAAGTACTATGTATGAGATGGGATGTCCTACGTAGGAGATACTAAGTCCTACGTAGGGGATTATAAGTCCTACGTAGAAGATTATAAATCCTACGTAGGGGATGATAAGTCCTACGTAGGAGATACTAAGTCCTACGCAGGGGATTATAAGTCCTACGTAGGACTTAGTATCTCCTACGTAGGACTTATAATTCCCTACGAAGGACTTAGTATCTCCTACGTAGGGGATTATAAGTCCTACGTAGGAGATAATGAGACCAAAACAATTACACCGTGGCCCTACTACGTTTCCGTAGTGTCTTACCTTAACCACATTTATGCACGTTATAATCCACCAAAATTGCAACATTTTACAAGAGCGTTAAAATGGGTACCTCGAAAGGATGAGAAAGTTGCATTAACTCGGTGCGCCTAGTGGCAGCAAGAGTTGAATGCACCCCAGGAAGTTGAGATTGATAACATGATGTGCCGCTGAATTGACATCCAATTGATCGGGGGAAAAACAAATAAGCGCTTTGAGCATGCATGTGGGATGGACTATAGCGCTATATAAATACCCATATAGTATTATAATAATAATAATAATAATAATAATAATAATAATAAAAGGAACAAGTCATGCCTTTTATTCCCATGCAGATGAATAACTTACCCTGTTCAAACACAGCCGCGACACAAGTAGGCCAGGTAGTGTAATAGCATATGATCAGTCCAAACAGTCATGCCTTATGTTAACCACTTTTAGGCACGTTATAACGAAGCTGCCGAAACTATTACATTTTACAAGAGCGTTAAAATGAACATGTTTCTTATCCCAATGCAGATGAATGACTTACCCTTTTTAAACATAGCCGTTTCGCCCTGGCTCGGTTGCGTGATGTGTAAAGGTTGTTCAACAATGACCTGCTTACAAAAGAGCATTTGCTGACCTAAATTTCAGCTTATCACCGGCTAGTGTTAAAGCCAGACTGGTGAAAAGTATCCGATGACGAGCGTGGAATCAGTATGAGTTGTAAACGGTCGTTGAGTTCCTGACACGTGTTGATTTTAAGTCTCGTTACAACTGCCGGACAAAAGAATTTATCAAACTGGATTAGACGGGAAAACATACAAATACAACATCGAAATTTTATATTTTTTTGGGGCTTTAAATAGAGCTGATATCAGACCTTGCATGTTAAAAAGCTACATAACCCTTCCAGTTATGATAGTCACAATCAAAATACATCGCACTATTCATGAACACATGTCATACAGCCATTTCTTTGGGGATTTTTTGTTGTTTCATTTATTTATTTATGCATTCATTCATTCGTTCGTTCGTTCGTACGTTCGTTCGTTCGTCCGTCCGTCCGTTCGTTCGTTATTTATTTATTTATTTATTTATTTATTTTATTTAGTTACTTATTTTATATATATATACTATTTATTTAGTTATTTATTCATTCATTCATTCATTCATTCAATCACTCATTTATTTATTTAGTTAGTTAGTTAGTTAGTTAGTTAGTTAGTTATTCATTCATTCATTCAATCACTCATTTATTTATTTATTTATTAATTATTTATTTATTTATTTAGCTATTTAGCTATTTATTTATTTATTTAGCTATTTAGCTATTTATTTATTTATTTATTTATTTAGCTATTTATTTATTTATTTATTTAGCTATTTATTTAGCTATCTAGCTAGCAATCTGAGACAGCGATTATTTAACAGGTGTGTGTGGGTCATCCTGCACTGCCTTGGAGGGCTCGATAACTATATCTAGTGTAGCGTCTTGTCTAGATTAGAGTTTTCTACTGTCGAATGCATGCTTATTACCAACAATGCTCATTGTCATAGCACTAATCATCATTTCACGTAAGTACATGGTTAAATATTTCCAGTTCCACATAGACCAGTGAAGATCCGGGTGGGAAGTGGTCTTCAGCAACCATAGTTTGTCGCAAGAGGCGATTCGGTTGGTCAGGCTCGCTGACTTGTCGTCATGTTGTTGATCACTGGATTGTCAAGTTCAGACTCGATTAATTACAGACAGTCGCCATGGAGTCCCTCATTTTTCAGACAGCCATTCTTCAGACACTTGAGTAGACATATTAATTATCCTCACCCAATAGCAAAAATGGAACAGCTTAATTAGCCTACTCAGTGCTCAGGAGAGTAGAGAGATTTTTAAACAGAGATTCAACCTTGTATTCCCTACTGAAGAGGCCACAGGCCTATAGTACATAAAACATACATACATTTATATTCGCCCGAGTAGTAACTTTTACATTTTTTTCAAATATTACTATTTTTCTTACTTTGCAATGTTGCATGGAATATAAATATTGATATCACATAGTTTGCATCGTCTCTCTTGTCGATTAATATTAGTATAGCGTCCAGTTTCTATAAATATATCATGAGATGAACATCAAAAACGTGATAATGCAACTCGGAGCTTCTTTACTGTTATCTTAGAGAGGTACCACTCCAAACATATATTTAACAGTCAGTGACATGAGGTGAGGTGAGGTGAAATTGGGTTTAACGTCGTGCTTGAGAATATTTCGCTCATATGACGACGTGCATGCATGTGTATGTGTATGTGCGGCTGCTTGTACTAGCCCAGACTGAAGCTGGTTTTATAGTGCTAGCCCACTGAGATACCATGCCGCAGTGAAGCATGAATACCCCACTCAGACACATTATACTGACTCCGAGCCGACCAGTCCTTGTTGTACCCATTAATGCCGAGCGCCAGACAGGGACCAACAAGTACCATATTTTAACGTATTTTTGGTATGACGCGGTCGGGGATCGAACCGGGCGGACACTCTAACCACTACACCACGGAGGCGGTCGTCAGTGACATGATAAAATTAGGGTATCAGCTAACATTTTGGTCGTACCGTGCGTTACCAAAACCAGTTTTAAACAGCAATGTTTTTTATATTCGTGACCAAATTATTTTTTCCATTATTGTCATTAACTATCACCATATTGTAACACATTTTGGGAAATCTTTGTGCAGGCATGTTCAACAATCTTAACCAGTATTTGATAGCCTTAACTTGAGAAAATATGTGCATCGGGAATCTACCACATTTACCAGAAACCATAACATGTAATTGACATATATGAATAGAGATGAACATATAATGTATGAACGTTTCATTACCTGTTATTCATGACAACAGGATGCTATCATATGAATAAATTATATACATACATATGTCAATGTGGTTGTGTTCCCTTTATAAATTGAAATACGAAACTGGGTTCTTCCATTTCTCTATCAAAGGTAACAGCTTTCTCCATTGCTGTGCATTGGACCGTAAATGTTGTTGTTCTGAGCTGTCCAAAGAATGAGTGTCTGAAGAATGACTGTCTGAAGAATGGGGGATAACAGTCAGCATATAACTGGACTATTGTTGAGTATGGTGTTAAACAAAACAATTATTTGCAACAGGTCAAGCAAAGCCCACTTCATTCATTGCCACAGAACACGTGAAGATCCGGGTTAGAACTGATCTTCAGTAACCCTTGCTTGTCGTACGAGGCGACTAACAGGATCTCGTGGCAAGGCTCATGGCTGACACATGTCATCGTATCCCAATTGCTCAGATTTGATGCTTATGCATTTGATCACTGGATTGTCTGGTCTAGACTCGATTATTCAAAGGCGATGGAATATTGCTGAGTGCGGCGTAAAACTAATCTCACTCACTCCTTCATCGTCACAGAAATGTGTACTGTGTTGTGTTTTTGCAGCGTGTGACACGGATATGTACATACTTCAACATGTACATTCTTTCTGTTGATACAGACATCCATTAATTAACTCTTCAGATACAAATGTGAGTGGGGATGATGGTATTGTGTAAGGACCAGAAATTGTTTTAATTGTGCCCAACACATTAATTGATGTTGAACTATCAAAAATATAAGTAGACACACGCACCGTGAGTTAATATTTACCATGCATAGTTAATATTTTGGCACTTCATCAATATTTGAAAATGATTTTTTTATATGAAGATTGTGACACTACTTGGCGACATTACACACAGAGTGTGACAATTCTTCATTCACCTGTCTTCAGCAACCCATGCTTGTCGTAATAGACTAAAAACGGCATCGGGTGGTCAGGAGCGCTGACTTGGTTGACACGTCATAGTATCCCAGTTTCGTAGATCGAGAAGCAAGCTGTTGATCGCAGGGTAGTCTGGTGCAGACTCGATTATTTACAGCTTGAACATTGCTTAATACGGCGTTAAACAAAAAAAATAGTAGTAGTAGTAGTAGTAGTAGTAGTAGTAGTAGTAGTAGTAGTAGTAGTAGTAGTAGTAGTATATTTTGTTATTAAAGTGTCACACGCACAAGTACATTTTACAGACAATACATTATTCGACAGTAAAAACCGTGGGTCTAGCCACAAACTTGCCTATAAGACACTAAAAACATATATGCGATAATAAATATGAATATAAGATGTACATAAATCATTTCAATGATATTTCTCGTCTTTTAAACATATTTTGAAGTGAAGAGGCTAAACTATTTTGCAATGTTTTCTGTCATAAGAGACAAAACTTGTTGGTATCATTTAAGTTATAAAATAGATGGTTACATTTGAAAGCAGTTTTATCTAGAAAGTGTGTTTACTCGTAAAAACAGATGTCTCCCCCTTCCCCCAATTCAACCTTGAGACCTCAAACACTTTATTTGATTCCTTCAATTTCAAAATCTCTACCTTAAAAAACACCAAGTCCAAATTTGTTGCCATTGAAACAGAAAATATGAAATTGAAAGAAACTTTCAAACCCCCAAAAGGCACATCTACATGATAGGGAGAGGCAGTATAGCAAATTTGGTGAAGATTGTTCAAGCAGTTCTAGAGTTATGTTCCGGAAACAATGGGAGCGCCGACGCCAACTCAACCAAAAACACTATGTCTCCCGACATTTCGGGATGGATGGGGTGAGGTGGCATGAATAGGATAAAACGTAATTCGTCATAAAAAGTACATTTAATTAAAAAATGAAATTCCTCTTCAACTATATGCACATGGGAACCATTATAATAATTCAATATTTACAATGCCTTTGTAAAAGAGGAACAGGGGGTTTGACATATCTGCCGGTTTCAATGAACAAGGGTAAAATACCACATCTAAATTTGGATAAAATACGACGATGATCTCTAAAAATAAAATTTTAACATATGGAGTGTCTATATAGAAATGATAGGTGCGGAAATCATTACCGTAATAGTTCCAAGTCTCTGCTCTAGACTGTTTTAGTCAGTCTCATGTGATATTGCTGGAACACTACTAAAAGCGGCGATAAAACGTACAACACACACCTCACCGTTTTTTCAAGATATTTTCCTTGAGAAATATACGTTACGTAAAAGTATTTCGCCAACAAGGGGCACTGTGCCCATATACACATTTCATTTTCATTTTCTTTCGTCAACTTTTAAGAAAATAATCAAATATACAGGTAAAAGATAGGTCTTCCATGGCTTAATTTCAGCTTCATTTGCTGATGACGTCAGCAGATGTCCCGCCACCATCAAAGCCAGCCAGTACGTCCGTGCATTTAGAGATCGGTGCTACGAGTTCGCCATCTATCGCGAGGAGTACTGGGAAGATGCATCGAAGGACTGTATCCACAAGGGCGGTTCTTTAGCAACTGTCAACGACCTCGCCACACAAAAATTCTTCGAGACCTCACTCTCCAGTCTGAAATCCACGAGGCACGGCATCTGGATTGGTTTGAATGACAGAGCTTCAGAGAATCACTATACCTGGGTGTCAGGTGATGTCAATCTGTTTGTATATGATCAGATGTTCATGGGACATCTTATCTTATTAATGGCCTTTCTTGTTCCCATTTATCCAAAAATGGACACAATTATTTTATATGAATAACTCTTATCTTATTCATTTATCCAAAATCAGAAACCATTGCTCTTCATGCATTTCTCTCAGAAATCATTGCACCACGTCCAGTTAATTTGTCTCACTAGTGATGACACCAAAATTCGTTCATTGTGTTTAACTCCGAATAGAAAACACACAAGGTATTTGCGGGAATTACTCTGCTGGTATGTTTAGTTTGTAGCAGGGCTCAACATGTCTGTTCCGTTTTAAGGTAATCCATATTGTAAGAGACCATTGCATTTGGACAATGATCTGAAAATCTCACAACAATGGCTTTTTACATTCAGTCTGTAAACAGCATCTCCTTTTAAACAAGAAGACTCTGAAATGAACCTGACCAACTTGTTCCTCACGCATGATGCCACCACGGACACACACACGCACACGCACACGCACACGCACACACGCACACTTACACATACATAAACACACAACATGTCAAAGGTGATCTAATCTGATTGTTAGGCTGCCTAGAGATTATACTTACCGTTACCCAGACAGTTTTGAAAAGAGTGCAGTGAAGTTACGTTGTTTTTTTGCGATAATTTAAAGCGCCACCTGGTTTTCACCATGCAGGTCATGCTCTTGAATATTTTTTGACTTGTAAACCTCTCCGGTGTACGAAATATTTTAATATCAATGCTGTCTTTATTTATAAAAACTCAACTCTGTCTCTATACTCAGAACACGTGATCTTCAGTAGCCCATACTTGTCGAAAGAGGCGACTAACGGGATCGGGTGGTCAGGCTCGCTCACTTGGTTGACAACATGTCATTAGGGTTGGGTATTGCCAAAATTTTCGTATTGCGATATATTGTGATATGTGTTGGCGTATCTCAATATGTATTGCAATATATTGTGAAAGTGTAACACATGGGTTAAGGTAATGAAATTACTGTTTCCTTTCTTTTGAAACAATGCCACTGGCCACTGTCAGGACTCAGATGTAATTGTACAAGAGATCAATTTCAAATGTTTCCAAATTCGCTCTAAAGTTTGGATCTCGAGGAAAAAGCGTCTGCAGCGGCGTCCGCCATTTTGGTTTGTTTATCCCTAAAACGAGTGCCGGTACCAATCTATTGTGTTTATTTATATGGTTTAAAAGTCATGCAAATGCAATAATATATCACCAATAAACATTCTCAAAACTATTAATGCATAATAATATACAGGCAATACAAATGTTAATAGTAATTTTGAATACATCACGAAAATTACCGATCTCAACAGGTTCGCTAAAAGTGTACCGCAATATATCGTATTGTGAAGTTCGAATTGCAATATACCGGTTAACCGGTATTATCGCCCACCCGTACATATCATCGTATCCTAATTGAGTAGATCGATGCTGATGCTGTTGATCACTGGAATGTCTGGTCCAGACTGGACAACTCAATTTTAACAGACCGCCGCCATACAGCTGGAATATTGCTGAGTGTGGCTAAGGGGGGCGGTGGGGTAGCCTAGTGGTTAAAGCGTTGGCTCGTCACGCCGAAGACCCGGGTTTGAATCCCCACATGGGTACAATGTATGAAGCCCATTTCTGGTGTCCCCCGACGTGATGTTGCTGGAATATTGCTAAAAGCGGTCAGTCAGTCAGTCACTCGCTAAGGTGAGCTTTAATAACTTGGCACTGTTTCAAACCTCAAATCCTCGAAAATATTAAAGCTCACCTGTATATATAATATGTGTTTATTGACTATAACAAGCAGGAGAGCAAACCAAGTTCACGTACTGGGCTAGCGGCGAGCCAAGTCTACTACACGGGATTGAGGACTGTGTTCTGATGAGGAATTCTGACAGTTACCACTGGGAGGACCAGCCTTGCGGCCTCTGGCCCAAATATTACAGCTACATATGTCAGTATGGTGAGTATGGGACGCTTTCAAAGCAGAGAAAATACATCCTTCGTTTGATTTGTTTGTGTTGTTTAAGGATAATTTTAACTGCTATAGGACATCACTTATCACATATCAAAAAGTCTAAAATATCTAAACATGTTTAAATTCTAAATAGTATTAGAACCTACACATATCTAGTTGTTTGGTTTGTTGTTTTACGCCGCACCCAGCAATATTCCAGCTATATGGCGGCGGTAATTAAATCGATTCTGGGCCAAACATTCCAGTGATCAACGTCATGAGCATCGATCTACGCAAATGGGATACGATGTTAACCAAGTCAGCAAGCCTGACCACCCGATCCTGTCAGTCGTCTCTCACAACAAGCATGGATTGCTGAAGACCAATTCTAACCGGAATCATCACGAGAAAAACATATAGGTGTCTGGCAACCAGTGTATGCTTGCCCTAAGATGCGACTAAACATACCGGGTACCCAGACTTGGCATGTTAATGTGTCCCTATTGCAGTTGCAGATGCTCATGATATCAATCACTGACATGTCTGGTCCAAACTCGAATCAGTTTGCAATCATATCGCTGGAATATTGGTAATTGCGTTAAAATAATTTGATTTGCGGACTGTGCTATGTAAAACCTTTCTGCTGCTGTGCCTGCCAATGTACATGTGGTTGTTGTTTTGTCAATCAGATAAGTACCTCGTACACTGTACATACTTTTGTCACAACTCTACGTTGATATTTGCCTGCGAAATACAAGTTTCGTGGGGTGATTTCAATGTATCGTGTATCCAATCATGATGCCATGGATCTATGATACTGTTATTTAATATAACTTTCGACACCTCGCTGTCTTCAATGGTCCTGTTGGGTTCGACATACCAGCTTCTGTATGTATCTACTATACATTCATGTATGGTATTTTTCAGACATGTTGACGACAACAACAATGACAACAACAACGACAACTACGACAACCACAACACCAACTACAACAACCACGACCACTACAACAACAACAACAACAACAACCACGACAACTACAACAACCACGACCACTACAACACCAACCACAACGACAACCGCAGCAACTACAACTACTTCGTGTATGTACTGTTTCTTGAGTGATAACTTACTTGAAATAATTGACAGGTACCATGATGTATACTGAACCACAAAAGAAATGTCGCACCGATAGCGGTTTCTTAAGGCACACACTTTAATTCAGCTCTAATTAACAATCAAAACGGAGGACTGAGTTCAAACTTGACAATTATGGTTAACACATTTTCGGGAATCACATTTAGAGTTCACACAAACAAAATCACGAAAAAAGGTACCATTAAGATACCCAAAAGTCAGTATTTTGTGTGGCCTCAATGGGCATCGATGAAAGCGTTGCATCGTCTGTACATGGAATGAATTAGCCGGTTGATGAAGGCCATAGGCACTTTGGGTCCGCACTCTGCAAAATGCCTGATCGAGTCCAAACGCAGTTGTCGGCCTTGATCGGAGGCCATTCAATCTTCTTTGAATCTCGTCTCAAGGTGTTCTATTGGAATCAAAGCCGGTCTGAGTGCAGGCTATTGTAATGGTTTGGATGCCATGTTGTCTTAGGAAGTCCACAGTTACTCTGCGCAACTGGGATAGGATGACATGTGTCAACCATGTCAGCGAGCCTAACCAACTGATCCCGTTAGTCGCCTTTTACGACAAATATAGGTTACTGAAGATCAATTCTAACCCGGATCTTCACGGGTCTAATCAATGATAAAACAAGGTGTTCGCGAAAGGGCAAGCACCTCCTCCCCTACCGGTAGAGCCAGCCTTTTACTATATTTGGAAGTAAATTGAAATGAAAGTAATTCAATCTGATGCCCACCGTGATACTCCTGCCATGCGCCGGCGGTAAAATTAGTATATACTCATAGAAACGAATAAGGGAACACATGAAAGTACAAGTGTTTTATTTATTTCCAGAATTTCACTCACAGTGCAATACATACCTTGTGAAGAAACCTGGAAACGAATAAAGGAACACTTGTACTTTCATGTGTTCCCTTATTTGTTTCCATGAGTATATAATTGAAACACAACACTGAGACCATTCAGACGATACAACTTTGGCTGAAGCATCGAAGGTTGACATGTTTATGGCGTGAAACCGAATTCTTTGGGCAGATGCTTAAAGCGTTGTGTGGAGCTTGTCCATGAAGATTTGCATCCCTCTGGTAATCTTTCATTCAAAGAGGTTTGGTCGGTGAGGTTACCAATATTCGACTGATTCACCTTTATTGTATACACCTGGTATATTCATTCTGATTTACTGTTTCCCTCTTTATATATCATGTCATATATTCCGGTTTCAATGCCATCTTTCCTGGACCAATGAATATAGAACATAAAGAGCATAAACCAAAACTGTAAGAGATTTCAACTCTTAAAAAATGACAATTTAAACTGATAAGCTTTCATTTTCATACAGCGCCCTGTCAGCTTCTGTCCTGTACACTTGACTGTTCTCTCAATGGCTTCAAGACTGGACCAGATGGTTGCCCAATATGCAGCTGCGATTCACGGTAGCCATGGCGGATATTTGGGGATGATTCACATGTTTTTGGTGTTGCTGGAGATCATGATTCATGTTGAGAAATAAACTATAAGGTTGTAGTGCACTTATGATTTAAGTGTGTTTTGTATTATGTGAGAAATAGTTGTCAAGTGTATTCTGAAAAAAAACGAGTGAGTCCCCAAAATGGACCGTGTGCCTTTCTGGGCCCTGAAGATTGACTAATTGTGATAATTTATGACTAATGAATATTTGGGAACGTCAACGGGATGGCTCTATATCGGGAAACAATATGCCATCGGGGCACAAACACACGTATATATTCAAGCACACACATATATATTCTCAAACACACACACATATATATTCTCAAACACACACATACATGTATATTCTCAAACGCAAACATTTACACACATATTATCACACACACAAACTCTCTCACACACTAACTCACACACGTTGTCATTCGATTTGGAAGTACACATACTGAGTAAATATTATTTGAATTATTCAATTCCATTCCCTTGAAACCTTTCAGTCTTGTATATAAAAAAATCGTTATCACTAAATAAGAAAAAGATGAATATCACATCAGCAATATGCCAGCCAAATTACCCTAGGCAATAGTGGTCATTTTGTATTCATAATATCACGAGAATGTCCGTTTTTAACTTTGACATATAGAAAAATATTTTGGAGAGTCGACTGAACGACAATGAGGTGAGGTGAAATTGGGTTTCTGAACGACAATGACATCTAAAAGGAGGTTATGTGTCCAACAAATCTTAATGTTTCCATAGAAATGAGTATTTGTGCAAAGACTACTTACATGACGAGACAAAATGTGGCGAGATCTTGGTCTGACCATCATGTCGACTTGCTTGCTTGCTCGCTTGTTTGCTTGTTTTGCCTTTGCTTGTTTGCCTGCTTGCTTGCCTTTGTTTGCCGCTTCTGTTTGCCTTGTTTGCCTGCCCGCCTCGCCTGCCCGCCTGATCCTCTGTCTGCCTTGCTTGCTTTTTTCGCCTTGCCTGCCTGCCTTGCCTGCTTGCCTCTGCCTTGCTTGTCGCCTGCCTGCCTGCCTGCGCCTGCCTGTTTGCCTGCCTGCGCCTGCCTGCCCGCCTTTGCCGCCCCGCCTTTCGCCTCTTGCCTCGCCTGCTTGCCTCCCGCCCGCCCGCCTGCCTGCCTCCGCCTTGCCTGCCCCGCCTGCCTCCGCCTCCTGCCCGCCTGCGCCCGCCCGCCTCGCTCTCCGCCCCGCCTCCCGCCCGCCTGCCCGCCCGCCTGCCTTCGCCTCCCGCCCGCCTGCCTGCGCCCTGCCTCGCCCGCCCGCCTGCCTGCCTGGCCCGCCTCGCCCGCCCGCCTCGCCCGCCCGCCCGCCTCGCCTCGCCTCGCCTCCGCCTGCCCGCCCGCCTGCCCGCCCGCCTCGCCTGCCCGCCTCGCCTGCCCGCCCGCCCGCCTGCCCGCCTGCCCGCCTGCCTCTGCCCGCCTGCCTGCCCCCCGCCCGCCTCGCCTGCCTCGCCTGCCCGCCCGCCTCGCCCGCCCGCCTGCCTGCCTGCCTGCCCGCCTCGCCTCGCCTGCCTCGCCTCGCCTGCCTGCCTGCCTCCGCCTGCCCGCCTGCCCGCCTCGCTCCGCCCGCCCGCCTCGCCTCGCCTGCCCGCCCTGCCTGCCTGCTCTGCCTCCCTGCCCGCCTGCCTCGCCCTGCCTGCCCGCCTGCCTGCCTCGCGCCTGCCCGCCCGCCTGCCTCGCCTGCCTGCCTGCCTGCCTGCCTGCCTCGCCTGCCCGCCTCCCCGCCTGCCCGCCCGCCTCGCCCGCCTGCCTGCCTGCCTCGCCCGCCCGCCCGCCCGCCTGCCCGCCTCGCCCGCCTGCCCGCCCGCCTGCCTGCCTGCCTCCGCCTGCCCGCCTGCCTCGCCCGCGCCCGCCTGCCTCGCCTGCCTGCCTGCCCGCCCGCCTGCCTGCCTGCCCGCCCGCCCGCCCGCTCTCCGCCCGCCTGCCTCGCCCGCCCGCCCGCCTCTGCCTGCCTGCCTGCCCGCCTGCCTGCCTGCCTGCCTCCTGCCTCCTGCCCGCCTGCCTGCCCGCCTCGCCCGCCTGCCCGCCTGCCTGCCTGCCTGCCCGCCCCGCCCGCCTCGCCCGGCCCGCCTGCCTGCCCGCCCGCCCGCCTGCCCCGCCTGCCCGCCTGCCTGCCCGCCTGCCCGCCCGCCCGCCTCGCCTGCCCGCCCGCCCGCCCGCCCGCCTGCCTCCCGCCTCCGCGCCTGCCGCCCGCCTGCCTGCCTGCCTGCGCCTTGCCCGCCTGCCTCGCCTCGCCTCGCCTGCCCGCCCGCCTGCCCGCCCGCCTGCCTGCCTGCCCGCCTGCCCTGCCTGCCCTGCCCGCCTGCCCGCCTCGTCTGCCTGCCTCGCCTCCGTCTGCCCGCTGCCCTGCCTGCCCCGCCTGCCTGCCTGCCTGCCTGCCTGCCTGCCTGCCTGCCTGCGCCGCCCGCCTGGCCTCCGCCTGCCCGCCTCCGCCCGCCTCGCCCTTTGCCCGCCTCGCCCTGCCCGCCTGCCTGCCTGCCTGCCCGCCTGCCTGCCTGCCTGCCTGCCTGCCTGCCTCGCCTGCCTGCCTGCCTGCCTCGCCCGCCTGCCTGCCTGCCTGCCTGCCTGCCCGCCTCTGTCTGCCTGCCTGCCTGCCTGCCTGCCTGCCTCTGCCTGCCTGCCTGCCTGCCTGCCTGCCTGGCCTGCCTGCCTGCCTGCCTGCCTGCCCTGCCTGGCCTGGTCTTGCCTGCCTGCCTGCCTGCTCTGCCTGCTCTGCCTGCCTGCCTGCCTGCCTGCGCTGCCTGCCTGCTTGCTTGCTTGCTTTTGCTTGTTTGTTTGTTGTCTAAAGCCGCTCTATTACAGCATATGCCAGCTATATGGCGGCGATTTTTAAATAAGCTAGTCTTGATCAGACAATCAAGTGCTCAACTGCATAGCTTCGATCTATGTAGTTGCGATACTATTCAGTTTAACTGTAAAACGATTATGAACCGTTGTATCGAAAGACAGCTGCTCTCAATGGATAAGGATATTTTGAATTTGACTCCCTCACACAACCTACAGAAGGGATTGAATTATCCAATGTATTTGTCATAAAGAAATTGTGAAAAAAATACATTTTTACTGGTACAATAATGCATAGTTTCAATATTTTACGTTTTGAAATTTTGTGACATTTTCTCAAAAAATACAATCGATTGTACTTGTTGACGTCAAATACATGGCAGATATGATTTGAAACTGTACTGGAACAAAGGTCGTTTTAGGGTTATCTATCCAAGGTTCAAGACATGCATGTGTACACGTTCATCTGTTGGTCTTATCACTATCTTTAACCACCAAAGGAACTGTGCCTTTATATACACTGTAAAATAGGGTAAAAACTTACAGTGGGCAACATGGTTCTCTTTCCAGGAATACTTCTTTCATGTCTCTTCATATCTGGTGAGTATGGGCAGAATTAATAAGATGAATGTAAAATTATCAGCATACCAGAACGAAATTTCCTTCCATGGCTGGTTCAGGACCACTTTTATTACAGCTATAGAAACGATGACATCGTCCACCTAGGTGTAAGTTTTGATGATGATATTCGTGATTTGGTAACAGACAAGTAGTGAGTGAGTATTGATTTACGCCGCTTTCAGCAATATTCCAGCAATATCATGACTAGATTCATTAGTTATAAAATCGGCATGCTGAAACCATGGAAAGCAAACCCTAGTCCTCGATGTTATTCTTTAACCACCATACTACCCCCAAGACCCAAGCAAACAATTAACGAATACATATTTTCTAAATTTTAAAGCTTGCCAGCCAGTTCTGCATGATATAGGAATAATTTCATATGTAAGTAATCAGTTGTCTTGAGAAGACTTGAGAAATGTTATATTGCATTTAACTTAACACAATATACAGTCGAGCCTCGTTGTATCTTTCGAACTACCGGCCGTCGTGAACTTATTTGGGAGCCCAAACATTCCCCAGTTGACTCGAATAAAAGTATGTCAAATTATTGAAGGATTTCTCAGCCTTAATTTACACTGCCTCAATTTTTATCATGCAAACTGTTCTGACTGAAATTCTTAGTGTTCCGTTGGTATTAAAAGCAAATTGTTTTCATGGATGCATTCATTTACGAAATATTCACAGAAACAAATCCTTAAAACATAAAACTACATTAGTAAATAAATGTGGACATTTAATAATCAACAACATTAATAAATTATGACATTAATAGGCTTCTGTTATTCCTGTTACGAGAAGAAGCTGAGCACTTGACAAGCATGCGCTTTGACGCCCTTGTATATGGCTGGTGAAGAAATAGATATTATCAGATATTATCATTTTACTGAGTCTTATTTCCTCTGAACATATCAGCCTTTTAAACTTTTTCATTTTCTTCAGTTGTTCACACCATGAAACGTCCCGCAAAGACTACCTGGCAGTATCATTAAAACCGTGTGTGTGACGTCGTCACTTTATGTGTACACGTAAAACCGGATACTGCGCGAAAATGTGCGCGGCCAACCATAACCGGAGGATATGAATAGCACACTGGCGATTCGTTCACCTCTTTATGTCACAGAAATATCTAACAAAATGCTCTTGACTTTCACGTGAGGAAGCCTTGTTTTTCACTCAGAGATATGTGTTAAAACAGCTGCTTTTCTTGAAACATGCACTGAGACATATTTAAATAACATTAAATTTAGACGTTGATTATTCCTCCTCACAGTGCCTTTCTCAGTTATAAAGTTGAAACACATGTCAGTGCAGAATCTGATACATTTGCGTGATTGAATTGTCAGACGTCTTGACCGTGTTGTCTTCCATAAATATGTACAGTTGTACCGAACCTCGATGTGTCGAACTCCGGTTATATCGAAGAAAAGCGTATTCCTAATTTAGCCATAATTTTCAGTTGTCAGAAACATCGGATAACTTAAAGTCAACTTCGACACAACGGTGTTTGACTGTAAATCATTGAACAATGTATGAAGTCTATAGTACCATGGCACTTGTGTATATATTCGTAAAAATACTTTGCAAAGCTTTGCTAAGATGCAACGTTCTTATATATTCATATTAATATGAATTCGAAAAAATAACGGCAACAAAACATTTCCACTATCACAAATATCATAAGAAAGTGTTTATGAATGACTATGAAATTATAATCACACCATGGGTTCACGAAAAGGTTCAAAATCATGTCAGTTACTCTAATATTTTTACATATCATGTCGATGTATTTAACCACCTTTGCAAATATTCTGACCACTCTATTTGGCCTGAATATGATTATATTCCACCGCACCTAATGCAGCTTGTATGTTTGCACCGTCAAACATCGTTGTGTCGAAGTTGAGGGAACGTTACTACTCCGAGTCATCGGAGGATCAACACAAAAGAAACACAGGACTAAATTAGAAATACCCAGTTCTCAAGCTTTTACTTCGAGATAGCCGTAATTATAAGTTCGACACATTAAAGTTCGACACAACGGTGTTTGACTGTAACTGAAGCAATATTCTGTTCCAGCTTTTGCAGAGGAAGATGACTTCAGTAAATGCCCATCGGCTATCCCAAGGAACCAATACTTGAGGACTTTCAGGAATCGGTGTTATGAGTTTGTAGTGTTCCACGAGGCGTACTGGCCAGATGCTAACGCTCAGTGCAGAAGCACGGGAGGCTCTCTTGTCAGTGTAAACGACGCTGAGACCCAACAGTTCCTCGTCAGCACCCTGGTACGGCTGAATTTCGCCAAACACGGCATATGGATTGGCCTTAATGATCAGAAGGTTGAGTCAACTTATGAATGGGCTTCAGGTAATTGTTTCTCATCATTAACGCGTCGGTGCAGTGATAATCAGTTGTGTTTGTTTGTTTGATCCACGGTGTCATAGTGTTGCTCGAGGTTAATAAGTTCGGTATCTCCCTCCATTTATTCGTTGCTTGTACGTCACCACGCCACGCCACGCACCACACCACACCACTTCCCCCACACACACAAACACACTCACACATACACCACACATACACCGACACCACACACACCACACACATACACCACGCCACGCCACACACCACGCCACACACATACACCACACCACACACATACACCACGTCATGCCACGCCACGCCACACACCACATCACACACCACATCACACAACTTCACACACACACACTCACACATACATCACAACAAAACACACATACACATACACCACACACACCACACACACCACGCCACGCCACGCCTAACACCACACCACACACATACACCACACCACACACATACACCACGCCACGCCACACACCACATCACACAACTTCACACACACACACACACTCACACATACATCACAACAAAACACACATACACATACACCACACACATACACCATGCCACGTCACACACCACACCACACACATACACCACACCAAAACATACACCACGCCACGCCACGCCACGCCACACACCACACACCACATCACACAACTTCACACACACACACACACACTCACACATACATACATCACAACACACACATACACCATGCCACACCACACACATACACCAAGCCACGCCACGCGATCAGATTATCGAAGTTGACCGTCACATGAAGGACATGGCACTCCATGCAGTGAACTACCATTATATCGAACAAAGGGACCCTAGATCTTTACTTACGGTTCGATCAAAATATACAGCAAGTCCCTAAAACAGTCATACACTTCATCATCAGCAATACAGTTCGTTATTTCCTCCAGTTTCTTGTATGGGTATTTGTATTTTACAGTATTACCTAGTAACATGTGACTTGTTAAAAGTATTAGCAATCAGTTATTACTGACTGACTGACTGAGTATGGTTTTACGCCGTTTTTTAGCAATATTTTAGCAATATCACGGCGGGGGACACCAGAAATGGGCTTCACAAATTGTACCCATGTTGGGAATTGAACCCGGGCCTTCGGCGTGACGAGCGAACGCCTTAACCACTAGGCTACCCCAACGCCTCCAATCAGTTATTAACAGCCTTTACATTTAACTAATTTACCAACTTGACATATTACTCATAAATATGATTTCAGGTGATACAGTCAATTACACCGACTGGGCAACAGGAGAGCCTAACTTCGCTCATGGCGTCGAGGACTGTGTGCTGATGAAGAGTACGAAGGCCTACACTTGGGAGGACCACCCCTGTCATCTGTGGCCCCAGCACTACTCTTACATCTGTGAATACGGTGAGTGAGTGAGTGAGTGGATCACCCCTGTCATCTGTGGCCCCAACACTACTCTTACATCTGTGAATTCGGTAAGTGAGTGAGTGAGTGGATCACCCCTGTCATCTGTGGCCCCAACACTACTCTTACATCTGTGAATTCGGTAAGTGAGTGAGCGAGTGGATCACCCCTGTCATCTGTGGCCCCAGCAATACTCTTACATCTGTGAATACGGTGAGTGTGTGAGTGGATCACCCCTGTCATCTGTGGCCCCAACATTACTCTTACATCTGTGGATACAGTGAGTGAGTGAGTGGATCACCCCTGTCATCTGTGGCCCCAACACTACTCTTACATCTGTGAATACGGTGAATGAATGTGTGAGTGAGTGGATCACCCCTGTCATCTGTTACCCCAACAGTACTAATACATCTGTGAATACGGTGAGTGAGTGAGTATTTGTATTACACCCCTCTCACCAGAAATGGGCTTCGCATATTGTACTCATGTGGGGAATCCAACGTTGAGTTTTACGTGTGAGAAGTGAACGCTTTAACCACTAGGCAACCCAGCTGACCCATACATCAACGGTAAAAGGTTTTCTGTTTCATGTGAGTGAGTGAGTGAGTGAGTGAGTGAGTGAGTGAGTGAGAGGTTTTACGCCGCTTTTAGCAATATTCCAGCAATATCACGGCGAGGGACACCAGAAATGGGCTTCACACATTGTACCTATGTGTTGTTTCATCTGAAGTTCAGTTACAAACAACCATTATATGCATTAAAACTAAATCTTAAATACAGTTTCTCCTCCAAGTTAAGATCGTGATAACCAAATTGCACGTGGTTGTTAACCTACGGCACACAGTTTGGATGTTTGCGTGTTTGTGGACATTGGGATGGGTTATTTTTTTGTTAATGTGAACAGCATACAATGATTCTTTGGCTATCAGGTGCTCATAAACAGACATTTTTCTTCAACCGTAATCAACGGTTACGAAATGCCATTTGTTAAAAATAAACCTGTCCGTCAACTTGTCGCAAACAAGAATGGCGCAACCGGAAGTTGCAAGACGTATTATGTTCATCTCATCTCATTGGAGACGTTGTCTCATGGCTCGTCGTCACTGCCGTGTCGGTATCGACGCAGATGGTGATTACACCCGATACTCACATCGCTAATTGAGGTCACCACCACCGTTTCAGCAACTGTGGCTCAGTCTCGTGTGAAGTGAGTTTGGTCAATTAACGTATTATGATGAAACATTGATCAGATAATCACTCAATATTTTCTTATTATTTATGATATCATTTACACCAATTTCTACAAAGGGCAATTAGTTTACGAGGATAATTGTTTGAAGAGGTTTAAATGATTCTTCAATGCCAGACAATATTTCAAGACGTACTGGTGCACATTGCATAAGTTGGTAATATGGCATCGTGGACATGATTTTGTTTCTGTTTGTGTTTTGTTTATGCAGTTTGGCTTAGTTTTGTTTTTGCTTTTGTGTTTTTGGTGCCTTATGTAAATTGACAAATCCCTATTGTTCTGAGAGAACATCTTCCATTTTATATAAGACTGACAAAGGATTCCAAAGATGGATAAATGTGTCAAGCAGAATTTCAGTTGCCGCCCTCCATGATATTATTTAATACTGCATAAAGTGCGTAAAGCATCCGTACACGCTCATCATTCACCATTTGAATTCCTTCCCTCGTAGCATATATTATCTTTGGATTACACTTTCTCGGTAAAATACTCACTCCATTGCTTATGTTGAGCCCCTTTCGGGATTCGAACCCATCGTCTTAGAGTCAGGCACCTAATTTCAAAAGTCAAAGTGAGCGACCTAACCCACCCAGGCTGGTCACTTAGTCTGGTTGTCTAGAATACATGCTTTGTGTACGCCTCTGACATGTGTAAATTGTAATAAACATACATTTATACAGCGCTTAATGTCCACCTCAAACATGCTCAGTGGCGCTAAGGACAAATTATGCCCCCAAAGCAGACATTTTACACCGCTTAGCCCAAGCCTCCTGTGAGGCGCTTGGTTAATAGTCATACGACCATTTAATCCCAACGGGTACCCTTTCACTGGCTGCATGTGTCACATGTACTTCGTTGTGGGGCAGGACTTGAGTCCTGGAAGCTCGCAGGAGTCAAGGTGCTAAACAGGATCACACATCCAAGGACTCTCCGTGACCGACGCTGCTTAAATTCAACTGATTTCTGACCACACATAGCTAGGGATACGCAATTTAGAAAGTGACGGGTTGTTATTTGATCATTCAAAAGGTTCAATAATTTTTGTTACAGAGATGTTCCAATCCACAACACCGCCCGCAAACGCAGCGACAGGACAATCTGCAATGGCCATGAATTAGTAGAACTGGTGGACAGGGGTTCCAGGTTAGTATAGGACCCACTTCCGGTAATAAGCAGGTTCCCGGCGCCGTTTAAGCCCGCCATCTTGAGATATGCGAGACGGGACCCAGCTTAGGGACCGTTCATAATTTATGGCTAGGGGGAAGATGATGATTTTTAAGAAGAAGTATGTACAATGTGAATTGCCCCCCACCCCACCCGAAGTTTATGTATAAAGAAACACCCCCACCCGCTTCCGGCATGTCTTGTACAAAATAAATTATTATTCCTGCAAGGGTTATCGGTTCCTAACTGTCAACTGACAACCATGGGACCATTTGGAAAGGTATGAAACGTTGTTTGTCACCGGAAGTACTAAGGTCTCGCCAAGTGCCGTGACCTACTTACGGGTCCTATAGACCCCAAATTATGCAGGCCGGATGAGAAAAGGGATGGTGTGATCGGGCTCTGTGACATGGTTGCGTTCGTACGTCGACTGTTGCTTATAGTATCAATCACTGGATGTTCTGCTTCAGGTTCTATTAATTACGACCCGCCATCTTGTAGCTGTAATATTGCTGTGCACGTTAAAGGAAAGCTATTACTTCAAACCAATCCAATCCCAGATTAAGTTCCTATTGTCACCGATATTTAACGAAAAACAGGATGAATGTTTGTTTGTTTGTTTGTTTGTTTGTTTGTTTGTTTGTTTGTTTGTTTCACGATAAATTCAGCAATATTCCAGATATACAGCGGCAGTCGGTAAATAGTCGAGTCTAGACCAGACAATCCAGTGATCATCAGCATGAGCATCGATCTACGCAATGACATGTGTCAACCAAGTCAGTGAGCCTGACTCTCCGATCCCGTTAGTTAACAAGCATGGGTTACTGAAGGTCAATTCTAACCCGTCAAGGGTCCAATACCGGATACCGCTCAGTACGAAGTATATAAACTTAGCCTGTAGATATGTAATGAACAACCTGTGCTTTACCCCATGTTGGGATTTGCAGGGAAGAATGTATACCCAGTGAGCTGTTTCTGGTCATAGGAAACGAAATGGATGTTTGGTGACTCTTTGGGGTGATTGTCATCACGATGGCGTGTTTTTGTGTTCATGCTGTCAATGCCCGGTTTGTCTTATCCAGGCTCGATTACTAATATCGAATGTCATGTAACTGGAATATATTGTTAACTGCGCTGTGAAACAATACACACACATTCAGTACAATTAATATATTATACTCGATTAGTGTTATTCATCACTGCTTTGTGTTTTGGATTCAGAAAGAAAACTTAGTGATTGATGGATTCATCTGACACCGGGTGTCTATGTTGGATACGATTGCCTGAGTGTAAATAAATTGTTCACTAGTTGTTGAGTAGTGTTAGATTTCTAACTGTTTGTCATATTTTCACGTGGACAGTCGTCTAAAGCCTTTGTGCATGCCAGAAAACAGTGGGTTCGAACCACTGCCCGCCTCCAGTTTCTAGCTTTGTCAGCATGGGTTTAACTACAGTGGTATAGGTCAAGGACCAACATCACTTTAGATTTCACTCTTACATTAAGCTGACAACTCGGTGATATAACTGCCTATAATTAAAAGTCACTCACTCACCCACTCTCATTTTTTCACTGTGACGGTATCACTCATGCAACAACCAGAAAGACATGACTTACCGGAAAGCATGATGCCAAAGTGGCGTTAGACGCCCTTAGTCGTCGTGGAGTTGCGTTCCTTGTGTGATACCGGTTCTAGTTACCTATCACCCACTACTCGTGGGTTTTACGAAGGTGGTGAGCGATCTCAAACTGTGTTTCTTTAGAATTTTCTCCAATATTAAGCTTGCAAAAATATTGAAACACAGTTTATATACATGTACCCACCCGCTACATACCCAACCTTGGGTGGGGGTTGGGTAGCCTATTAGTTAAAGCGTTTGCTCGTGACGCTGAAGACGAGATTTCGCTTCCCAAAGCGCGTACAATGTGTGAAGCCACTCACAGACTCACTCGACTGCTATTTCTATTTAACACCGCCGGGATATCTAATTGTTTCTGGGTGGGGGCAGCCTAGTGGTTAAAGCGTTCGCTCGTCACGCCGGAGACCCGGGTTCGATTCCCCACATGGGTACAATGTGTGAAGCCCATTTCTGATATTGCTGGAATATTGCTGAAAGCGGCGTAAAACTAAACTCACTAGCTCAAATGTGTCTGTAATACGACACGGCAAGAACATATTAATATAATACAAGTTAACAAACAAAAGCCGAAAAAGCTCTTGAATTAACAGTGCTTTTTAACATAACGTCCCGGGCCTCAAACAGCCATTGGTAAAAAGGGCATGTGATCTTGCGGTTTAATTACATCACTTCCTGTCCATGAAACCTTTACACACCGCGTAGTTTCAAGGCAATGTGGCGCGATGCACAATGAAGCAGATCACCGAGACTTAATACTGATAAAATACTCATCACTTTTCACACATATGTATCCAAACAACATATTCCCGATATGTATTAAACCATTAACAAAGTCTCAGAAAAAGGCATTTTATTGAACATGCCATACTTTAGTAATGACTGACGGTGACCTTGACCGTTTCAAAGATGACTTTTACCAAGTTGACATGTACTAAATGCTCCTTCGATAACCAATGAAATATTTTTTGTGACCTTGTGGAAGGCACTGGTAGTGACCTTGATTGATCGATGTGTCACAGCTTCCAAGAGCTATACGTATAACGAAGACGTATACAAGATTGGTCAAAGTGCCAAAGCTTACCGCAAGGCCATTCCATATACAGATGACGTATACATGAAATTAGTCTCCTATTTTCTAAATGACGCATGGTTTCTAAATGGAATCGCGCCGCATCAACTTCACACAAAACAAGCATATTTGGCGTTTCGTACAAATATATACTAGTATATAACAATTCTTTCGACCGGATATATCAACTTCGGATGAGCATGCATATCCGAATGGGTAAACATGGGCAATGCTTTACAAAACGTTCCTGTCAGTTTGTGTGCACGACAATGACAGCATGTAAATTCAGCCTGTATATCTGTAAATCAGAACGGTTCTGGATTTTTTATTTATCCTGTCTTTAGGCCTTGGAAAAGAGAATCTGAATTTTAGCCAAAAATGTTGGTACAAATGGTAATATACCTGAGAACAAATGCACCTAACTGCATGGGGCCGTTGAAGACTTCTAACGAAGGGTAAGGTCACAATCAAGAACAGACAACCACGATTCACACATAACGTGTACCGCTAGAGATTAATACAGGTACGGTACACACTTTAATGTTTGTGGTATATAATATATTTCCCTCATTCGAATTTTAATATATGTGATGCATTGATGAACAAGACCACTTTCATGGAGATTTTTGTATGATTTACTTTCTGTATATATAGTTTGAGTGAGTCTATATATGTTACAGTCAATCTGTCAAACCAGTCATTTGGTCAAATGACTAAAACGATCAGTCATTTGGTCAAAAGACTGTTTTTTTGACAGATTGACTGTAACATATATACATCGATGATTGAAAAAGGTAAACAAATTGTTTTAAAAACTAAAATACAAAGCATCATGAAACTGAAGTGTGTAATCTGCTTTTGGCAGAAATGTCTTATGAATGTGGAATGTGTGAATGTCACTTGTATTCTATAATAATTATCTAACCGAAACATCACCTACAGTTTCAGTATTTAAAACACGTCTCCACACTGCTTTTTTTTGTTTTTGTTTTTTTTAGTTCTTCAACTCATTTACCAAAGGTTAATTTACAGCAACTTAATTGCATTTAATGCAACAAAAACATGATGAGAACATTTGACTGTTCATGCGCAGGAGTGAAAAAGAGAATAGATGTTTTGGTCATAAATCATTCTGATTAAGATAAGAACTAGTAACACTATTACAAATGTCATAGTGCAAGGGTGTGATCTGTGAGAAGAATTTCCACATGTGTCATATGCTTATCGGTAGGTGTCAGAGCTGATCTGATATAGTTCTATTCTCAGAAGCTCCAGACAGAGTCCTAATCTTGAAGAGATTCATGTCATGATCCACCATGTGCAATATACGTGGGTTCTGTTGACCGGAAACTGATAATGAATAATGATTATAAATTTGTGCGTGTGTCTGTGTCTCTGTCTATGTATGTGTATGTGTCTGTCTGTGTGTATATGTGTGTCTGTTTATCTATGTGTCTGAGTGTCTGTGTGTTTATGTCTGTGTCTGTCTATCTGAATACATAGGGGATACTAACCGACCTTCTGTGTATTACCATTTTTATTAAACGAGTTAATGATTTGATCCTAAATCTTTCACGAGTTTGATACAAAAATGGTATTTCACGGAAGCGAGTTGAGTATTCTATTTATTAATCTCCAACATAAATTGATAGAAACTGCCTACGTAGTGTGATGACTCTCGGCTTTCAAGCAGGTATAAATACCATTGTGACAGAGGTATTATTATTGTGACGTCATAACTGTAAACCATTATGACGTCATACGTCTAGCGGTATTACACTAGTGTAATATTGCTGTAAAATATTACACTGCAGTATCTTCCACGGGCAAGTAATAAGTCTGTTTATCTCTCTGTGTGTGTATGTGTGTTTGTGTGTGTTTGTGTCTGTGTGGGCGCCTGTCTGTCTACGTCTGTTTATCTCGTTCTGTATATGCATCTCTTTGTGTGTCTGTCTGTGTACGTCTGTTTATATGTGTGTATGTGTATATGTGTGTCTGTTTATCTGTGTGTACAAACATATGTACATAGTTTCTCGCGTGGGTTCGTCTTGTACAAAGGCCAAATGAAATGGTTCACATAATTAGACTTGGTTTGGCTTACATTTAACGATAAGTCGGAACAATTATACTCTACATACAGTCCAGCAAAAATAGAAAATTGATTTCAGTTATGATAGTAAATTGATATAATATTATATATCACATCAACAGCTGTGTGAACATGGATTATCCCATGTCAGTGAGCACATGAGTCATGTCGCCCTTGATATCCACATATTAGAAAAGTTCGTATGAGATCATATTACACGTCTGAAGTAACGGACCTTTTCAAGAGATACAGCCAACTTGACTTCAGCAATATTTGGATTTGTTCCTGGATTGTGGTCATTATAGGCTCCAAGGAACGTGCCATTGACAAATACCTGAAACATAACAAATAATAAATATAGTGATCAAGGACGTCTAGTCGATATTCGTTCGGGGCATAAATATTTCAATTGCATGATATAATGTCTTATTGATCAGATTCTCTGAAACACCCCCGTTTATATTTCTATCTGTAGTTTCGTTAGTTGAGAGATATAAAGCATTAAAACATTCATACAAAGCAATAAAAAACACAGTATATATCAATACAAACTTATGCAAAACAGTAGAGCAATGCAAAACAATACAAAGCAAATATTAAGCAATACATAGCAAGGCAAAATAAATTACAAAGTAATACACAACGATGCAAAATAAGGAAAGCCAACACAAAACAATGCAAAGTGCAGAACGACACAAAACACAAAGACGTGCAGAGTGCAGAACAATACAAAGAAGTGCAGAACAATGCAAAACGATAGAAAGAAGTGCAGAACAATGCAAAACAATACAAATACGTGCAGAACAATACAAAACAATACAAAGAAGTGCAGAGTGCAGAACAATACAAAACGATACAAAGAAGTGAAGAACAATGCAAACAATACAAAAAAGTGCAGAACAATACAAAACGATACAAAGAGATGCAGAACAATACAAAACGATACAAAGAAGTGCAGAACAATACAAAACGATACAAAGAGGTGCAGAACAATACAAAACAATACAAAGAAGTGCAATACAAAACAATACAAAGAGGCAGATCAATGCAGAATAATACAAAACGATACAAAGAGTGCAGTGCAGAACAATACAAAACAATACAAAGAAGTGCAGAACATTACAAAACGATACAAAGAAGTGCAGAACAATACAAAACGATACAAAGAAGTGCAGAACAATACAAAACGATACAAAGAAGTGCAGAACAATACAAAACGATACAAAGAGGTGTAGAAGAAATCAATACAAAACGATACAAAGAAATGCAGAACAATACAAAAAGTGCGATACAAAACGAAGAGGTGCAGAACAATACAAAACGATACAAAGAAATGCAGAACAGTACAAAACGATACAAAGAAGTGCAGAACAATACAAAACCATACAAAGGGGTGCCGAACAATACAAAACGATACAAAGAGGTGCAGAACAATACAAAACGATACAAAGAAGTGCAGAACAATACAAAACGATACAAAGAGGTGCAGAACAATACAAAACGATACAAAGAGGT